TGTTTGCCTCTGTTTCTCTCCGTCTCTCTCTCTTTTTGTGTGCCTTTGTCTCGCTCTCTCTGTTTCTCTCTCTCTGTTTCAGTGTATGTCTCTCTCTCTCTCTCTCTCTCTCTCTCTCTCTCTCTCTCTCTCTTTTCTCTGTTTCTCTATGTGCCTCTGTCTCACTCTGTCTTTCTCTCTGTGCACCTCTGTCTCTCTGGCTGTCTCTCTCTGTCTCTCTCCCTCTCTTTTTCTCTCTCTCTGTGCCTCTGTCTCTCTCTCTCCCTGTCACTGTGTGTCCCTCTTTCTCTCTCTTTTTCTCTGTCTGTCTCTGTTTGCCTCTGTCTCTCTCTCGCTCTTTGTCTCTTTCTCTCTGTGTGTGTGCACCTTTGTCTCTCTCTCTCTGTTTCTCTTTTTCTCTCTCTGTTTCGGTGTTCGTCTGTATCTCTTTGTCTGCCTCTGTCTCATTCTGTCTCTCTCTCTCTCTCTCTCTGTGCCTCTCTCTCACTCTGTCTCTCTCTCTGTGCCTCTGTCACTGTCTGTCTCTCTTTCTCTCTCTGTCTCTCTCTCTGTGTGCCCCCCTCTCTCTCTCTCTCTCTCTCTCTCTCTCTCTCTCTCTCTCTCTCTCTCTCTGTCTCTCTCTCTCTCTCTCTGTCTCTCCGTATGCCTCTGTCTCTCTCTCTGTCTCTCTCTCTCTCTCTGTCTCTCCGTATGCCTCTGTCTCTGTCTCTCTGTCTCTGTGTGCCTCTGTCCCACGTCCCTTTCTTCATCTCTCTCCCCCTCTCCATCTCAGTTACTCTCTCTTCTCCCATGTTAAACAGTAGGTCTCTGTGGGTCAGAGTGACTGGGGAGAGCTGAAAAATACACACACGATACCAAGATATTGTTACTGTATTCACAAAAATATTTATGGGAAGTAAAGGTGGAAATGACAAGCAAAGTACAACGTTATTACAAAAACTTCCTCCTTAACAATGGACCGATTAGAATCTGTTTCACCTTTGATTACTTCTCTGTACCAGGATTTGGTCCATGTGTTGATTGGCTATTTTGGTGACACATTTAAAAGCCACATTTAAAAACTTTAGCTCAGTTTTATCATATAGTTCTGTGCTTATCTGTTTGAAGGTCCTACATTATACAAAATTGACTTTGTGAGCTTTAAGCCATGTTATAATGGTGTCACCGCCTCAAAAACAGATCTTCACGTCACACACTTTCCTTCTATATTTTACCTTACCTCTGTCTCTGTCATGCTCTGTTTGAGTGACAGGAGATTCCAACCAGTTACCGTGAAGTTTTACCTCACAGATATAAGATAATAAAGTGTGAATGTGTTTGGGTCTCTCCTCTGCACACACACACATCTCTTTGCCAATTCAGTCTGTGGAGTATGCACACTTCAAAGTTCCACATTTAAGAGCTAAGTCAACATCCTTAATGTGATTATGGGCTCCCTGTGTCCCACTGTGGTGTCTGGATCAAAGCTGCCTTGAATCTTTTTGCGCTTCTTAAAAAAAATCAGGTTTAAACTCTATTTAAAGGTGCACTGTGTAACTTTTTGGTTGGGGGTCCATCACGTGCACATTGTGGTACTGGAATGTTCCACAGTATGACATTAAACAGCTCTATATTACATTTATTAAACTACAGGTGGTTTTATTGCTCAAAAACACACACACACTATATATATATATATATATATATATATATATATATATATATATATATATACCCTACCACAGATCTAACCTGTAACTTGGTCTGGTTTGGTCTCCGTGAAGATGAAAAGGTTTAATTCCATACTGTGAAACATTCAAGACAAAGCAATAACATGTCCATGGAGAAAAGCATTTGACAGACCCTTCATCAAAAAAGTTACACAATGCACCTTTAAGCTATGTTAAGTACTTTGTTACATGATAAATGGTCAGATTTTTATGTAGCGCTTTTCCACCTTCTTTACAGCAAAGAACCACTCACCCATTCACACACCAGTATACGCAGACACTAGGGGCAAGGTGGGTTAAGTGTATTGCCCAAGGACGCAACAACATTTATCTGTGGGAGCTAGAATCTTACCACTAACCTGTGGGTGAGTGGATCTGACCGCTTAAACAATGATGTTTTATGTTGAAAACGCTCTACCAACTGAGCTAGAGCATGTAAAAATTCTAAGATATTTATACATCCTATAAACTATACTTGTTTTCACTTTCAAGCAAAAACACAAACTCATTAAATTGTGAAAATAATGAGGTGACTTTATTACTCAGCTCTTAAAATTGTAAAATTAAACTGCAGCATCTCATCCATATTTATAGATCTTGTCCTCTGCAAATAATGACCCCCAGTCTCCAAAACAGCGCTGTGAATCCAGTCTGAAGTGTTATTTAAAAGTAAAAAGGCGAGAGTAGATCCTTACGTGTGTCTGTTTACATCCACATAGAGCGTGACTATACTTCCTGTGTACTTTATCGCCAGCCCCCTATGCATTACAAATCATGTATCTGAAGGAGAGATGTAACAGTAACCAAAATATCGTGATATCGTATCATCAAAAGTCTCACAATAATATCGTGGGCTGTCACAATATATCAAATCACAAGTTCCTTTGCTTAAATGTATGGTTTTATAGTAGCAACAGTTTATCAGCATAGGGAACTACATATCCCATGAAGAAATACGTTTTTTACTTGAATTCTTGGGATTATGATGATAATAATTCACACCAACATCTTATTAAGTTATTTTAAAAGCAAAAAAGTGTCCCATCTACAATTATATCAGCCTCTCCAAAATATCGCAATAAATATTGTTCTGTGAGATGCATATCGTGATAATATTGTACTTTGAGATCTGGATATCGTTACACCCCTAATAAAGTATTGCACCACATTTCACAAATAATAATAACACAGTTTGGACTTGTATCTAAAATAGAAGTGCAGAGCTCTGACCTTTTGAACACTTCTCTAAGCGATTGGTTTTAATGTAGACAGGAAACAGCTGAATCGAGGTGCGTTCACAACTCTGTAGCCTGTGGTCCGCAGCCATATCCTGCTGCAGTCTTTGCGATTAGAGATTTAAGATTTTTCTCGTGTCTGTGGCGTGCGCTTTTTACCTCATGCAATCTTTTAAGACTGAAAATCCTGTAGTGTGTGGTGGCCTTTACACAGTACACCTTTATTACTGAGAGCGAGCAAAAGTTACACCGTACTGCTTTAATTCTCAGATGGGACGTCTTACCTCTGGCCTGTGTTTTTCCCTCATGTAGCGCTCTATGCTTATTAATACATTCCCATAAGTTTTCTTTTCAACAACAACACCTGCTGCAGTTGTCTTTCACTGCAGTCTCCTTTACACTAACAGATGCAAACATGGACGTAGCCAACATTCGAAATCTTCTGCAGAAAACTAAAGACTCTATTTTAAAGACCGACCTCCTGACTAAGAGTATTGATGATTTCAAACTTGTAAGTCTAAAACTGCTGTTACTTTTATGTCATGAAGTATTGCTTGGGTGGGGCGTAGTTTCGGCGTAGTGAGAAGTTTATAGAGACATCTGTACGCTGTTTTAGAGACTCAGTGTGGTTAGAATTTTATGGTGCTTTTGTGACTATTAATGCCTGTGTCTAGTGCACGAAATGTATATAAAGACACTAAAACCGAAACCTTTTGTAATTTTAGATCATTTTGTAAATCCTTTCATTCATTGCTTTTTTGCTGCATTCAGTAATGTGTAATGAAATTTGTTGTTGTGGAATTTCCTTTGTCTGTAATATGGATGATTTTTGTTGTGTGTGTGTGTGGTGTGTATGCTTGTGTACTTATTAGTGTGTATACTTGTATACTTATTAATACCCATGGAGTCAGGGGATTTTGTTTGTTTATGTTTCTTGAAGGGCCCATATTACGCTATTTTCTGATCTATGCTCTGTTGTTTCCCCATGACAACCATACCTGGAATTGTGTTTTGTTTCATTCATACGTGTTTAACATACAAATCGGCCATTTAAGTTTTTCAGACAGAAAACACTCTGCTCCACCTTGTAATGTCATGTGGTAATACAGGAAGCGTTCTTCTGTGTTTTCAAACTCCCTACACCTTCACTAGAATCATTTGGATAATTTCTGGAATTGCCAATCTCTACTGAACAAAAGGTAAAAAATAGCTGTTCACTAGAAAACTACAGCTCCGCAACATCACAAGTTACGTCTTTACCTTTGGAGGTGTAGACACTTAGCCTGATTCATCAGCCAGTTTCACTTTGTGGAAACTGTCTGACCTCGTAGCATTAGGATTCATTCACTTGGCGGTAGGCGGGTACTTTTTTTATTTAACCAATCGCTGCTATTTGGTCGAGACGTACGTAATGCGCCAAATCCCGTAGGAAGAAGAGCAATAACGTCTTTACCCTTGATAAAATTCACCAAACATTCTCTTTGTTCCGGCTTTAAATCCTCGATCTTGGGAATCGTTCCCAACACAGAATGTATGTCTTCGTCTACATCCACCTCGACTGCTTTGTTTACTGTTGTGTTGTACCACAAAAGGGACCCAGACAGGCGCTTGAGTTTGACGTCATGGCTTCACAGCTCTTTGCTGATTGGCCGGTGTGCGGTCTACAACTTTCGGGGTTCTTGCAAACCGTCTAGTGTATTCCGATTCCTGACCTAGTTGCTGGAGAGAACTGAAACTGAGTGGAGGCACTAGGTGGCACCAGCCTGGCTAGTAGACACTAGACTAGAGAGACTAATAATTTTCAATTACTCAAACATGTCTAAGAAACAAAACACAACTCCAGGTATGTTTTGGATGAGGTAACAACATTCTAACATGACTTAAAGCTCACAAGAGTCAATTATGCATAATATAGTACCTTTAAATTATGTGCAGATTTTGGGATTTGTATCTTCTGATTTGTAATTATCTTTGCAGCCCTTGTTTGAAGTTTGTAATATCTGAATGCCTGTCCCTGGTCTTTACTGACTCCTCTTTGCATTTGTGTGTTGTTCAGGTGGTGGGGACAGACGGGGTGCGGGCGATGATGGAGTCTGCCCTCACAGCCAGAGACCGTGTCGGGGTCCAGGACTTCGTGCTCCTGGAGAACTTCACCAGCGAAGCAGCTTTCATCGAGAACCTGCGCAAACGCTTCAAAGAAAACCTTATCTATGTGAGTCACTGATAACATATTATAGGTCTATAGTAGTAGGAGTAATATTAATAGTAAACGTAAAAAATGTGTACAAATAAGAATGATTAAACTACAGATAAGCTGATATATTAAGCTGCTAGTTGGACTTCTTAGCTTTAGGTCTTAAATCTCCAGCATAACCTCTATGATAGCTGTACAAAATGTGACTACACAGCTTCCTTAAAGAAAAATGGCTGTGGGTGAGTTTAAATGTACATAATTTGAAAAAATAAAATAAAATCTAAATCTGCCCATAAATATCAGTCCGAAAATATCAACAAACCTTATCGGATTCTAAACAGTCGAAATCGTATTGAAATTGGCCATGGAAAAAAAAAAAAAAAAAAAAAAAAAACACCATATAAATATAAATCATATAATAAATTTGAATAGCTAGAAGTTCACAGTAGCATAAAGATAAAATGTTTACATGTCTAAGAGCAGGTACTGTTATACTATTGTGTAGTGTTTTAATACATTACAGATATTGTACTTTGTCTTGCTCAGCTTCATATATGTTCATAGACATGTAAGTTATGTTTCTTATTATACCATCTTGGTCCTCCAATTTAGCTGTAGTAGCAGTAGCAGTAATTTTATTCTGTTTAAATCCAGGCTCAAAACAGTTCTGTTTAGCTGTGCATATGACTGAAAGGTGTTTATTCTGCACTCTTCTCTTTTAATGTTGATTTTATGATTATTTATGTTTTGATTTGTGATTTTAATATATTTCTTATTCTGTAAAGCACTTTAAATTACTTTGTGTATGAATTTTGCTATACAAATAAACCTGCCTTAAGTAACAGTAGCAGTAGCAGTAGCAGTAGCAGTAGCAGTAGTAATGTCCTGTCTCCCTGTTTCAGACGTACATTGGCTCGGTGCTGGTGTCGGTGAACCCGTACAGAGACCTGGAGATCTACACCAAGAACCACATGGAGAGATACAGAGGAGTCAACTTCTACGAAGTCTCCCCACACATGTAAGGATGTTTTTACAACTATGAACAAGCTTAAGCAGCCAAAATGAAGAGTTAAAGAGTATTTTATTAAACAAATGAAAATGAGTGTGATATATTTGTCAGGGAAAATATTAGGACACTTGTGATGGTTAAGAAAAGATGGAAAAACTGAGGCGACTGATGTTTCTGCTGCTCTAGTAATGAAGAAGGAAAATGTTGTAGATGGAGGAGACTGCTTTTATTCTGTTTGAGACGTGCAGCAAATGTTTTTAAAGGTGCACTGTGCAACCTTTTTGGTCGAAGGTCCACCATCTGTTTGTCTCCATAGAGATGTTATTGCTTTGCCTGAAATGTCCCAAAGTATGGCATTTAACTTATTAATGTAGATAAAGTTACTGGTCAGATTTGTAAAGAGGCAATCCTGCTCACAATTTTTAATAATAACACCATGCAAGATTGATTAGGAACTTCACTGTCATACTGTGGAACATTTCAAAACATTATCATCTCCATGGAAACAAGCAGCTGACTGAAATCCACTAGAAATGTTATACAAAGCAACTTTTTATATGTTATAATGTTGTTTTCTCATCACAGAACATACCTGGAGTTGTGTTTTGTTTCATTCGCACATGTTTAACTCACAAATCTTGCATGTTTAGGCTGAGTTCTTCTCTCAGACAGGAAATACTCTGTTCCATCTTGTGATGTCATGTGGTAATACAGGAAGTGCTCCACTGTGTTTTTAAACTTCATACACTTTCACTAGGGTCATTTGGATAATATCAGCTCTGGAATTGCCAACAAAAGGTAAAAGGTAGCTGTTAAGTTAAACTATCACTTCATGACATCACAAGTTGAAACAGAGCATTTAGAAATTTGAAGATATAGCCAAACTAATAATAAAGGGTGTGAATGAAACAAAATCCAACTCCAGGTATGTTTTTGAGAATAAAACAGCATTATAACATGGCTTAAAACTCACAAGAGACCATTTACTGCACTTGCTACACCAAATAACATTCAAATATATAATGCACGCTCATAAATATATGCCATACCAATGGGGTGACATAAGGGCTTCAGTGTTGTAGTATTATGAAGTTTTTCCTCTCTGCGATGACATAATATTTGTGTGGGAACATTTGAAGAAGTCTGACTACCCAGTGCATGGCCTGACTCCTCTCTCTCAATACATTTCTTTGTGAGAGATCTCAGGCTTAAAGTGTTTGTTGAATAGTTGCCACAGGAATGGTCTTGGGGATTCCCTTCAAATCCTCCCACACAATCGGAGCATTATGGACTTTAAAGGGTCCATATGACTCTATTTACTGATCTATGTTCGAACGGAGTTGAGTTTTGTTTCATTCACACATGTTTAACACATGAACCCTGCATAATTATGCTGAGTTCTTCTCTCAAACTGAAATAAAAGTATGGAGATGTTAACTTCAAAACTACCACTCCGTGACATCACAAACAAACATGTGTGAATGAAACAAAACACAACTCCAGGTATGTTTTTAAGAAGAAAACGGCATTCGAACATGGCTTAAATAAAGCTCAGAAGATTCCATTTTCTGTCAAAGAGGACCTTTAACGTTTCAACATTTAGTTTTTTAAGTCCCTCTGAACTGCTTTTCTTTGTCTTTTGTTCTTGAGATTAGGGAATAGTGCTGTTCTTCCTCTCAGTATAAATAACTAAAGTAACTAAAGATGGTTTTGTTCAGGATTCTGTACTGTCTCGAGGGATTGGACTAATCTGTCTTGATCCGCAAAGGAAATTACTTGGTCATACTAGTTCAGTTGCACAATAGTTAAAAAGATAATACAAAATCTATCATTTGGTTTGCTTGCACTTATGACTCGAATCATGAAATGCCTGTAAGTTCTATTCACAATTACAGTAAATATATATTTTATGGCAAGACAGATTTAAACAACAACACAACACAAACTTTAAACATGTTCTTCAGTTGTTACTACCATTTATTTATGAACAAAGTAAAAAAAAATGCATGGGAATATGTACCGAAGTTCTAGATCTCACAAGATTCCCATACATACTTTTTGTAACCTGTAACCTGCCACCTGCTTGTCTCCATGGAGATGTTATCGCTTTGCCTGAAATGTCCCATAGCATGGCATGGAACACCTTTATCTCAAGAAGAATGCAATCCTGTGTATGATTTTCTGGTGAGAGGTACATCACCTGCCTGTTTCGAAGGAGATGTTGCTGCTTTGCCTAGAAAATGTCATAGTATTGCTTAAAACTTCTGTCTTTCATATATTTCAATTTACAGGTGTTTTATTGCTCACAAATCCTTTAAAAAGCATGGATAGAGTAAGTGATGTTGCCTCTCCACAGATCTGATTTGTAAACCTGATCTAGTGGTGTCTCTTGCTTGTCTCTATGGAGTAATATAACTTGACTGCCATACTTTGGAAGATTCCAGGCAAAGAACAAGCAAGTAGATGAGCCTTCCACCAAAAAATTACACAGTGTAGCTTTAAAGTTTGGTTGTGAACTTGTGATTGATCTTATTCTGAGTGGAAAGGAATACGTGATGTGGTGGTCACGCTGCAGAGTCTGTGAGTGTGAGTGGAAACTAAAGTAAACTCCAGTGTTTCCTCTCGAAGATTTTCCTCCTGAAAGGGAATCCCTCGACCTCCACCTGACCCCGCCACATCACACTATAACACTGTAGTACTGTGCACTATAACACTGTGCGCTATAACACTGTACACATGAAGTACTGTGCGCTATAACACTGTACACATGAAGTACTGTACACTATAACATTGTACACATGCAGTACTGTACAAGCATAGGAACAGAGTCAAACAATAGATTATAGAAGAGCTATGGGCTGTTTTTCTTGAATCTTTACTGAAAGTGCACTTTGCATTCTTTATGTGAGCGACTTGCTTCTCCACAGATCTGAGCTGTAACTTGATCTGGTGATGTCACCTGCTTGCCTGCATAGAGATAGATGAGGTTATTGCTATACCCTGCTGCATTTACAAGTGCACAGTGTAATTTTTCTGGTGAAGGGTCCGCCATCTGCAAGTCTCCATGGAGATATTATTGCTATGCCTTGATTATTGCACACTATGGAAATAAACTCAGCAATCACAATAGAGACAGGTTAATGATCAGATCTATGGAGAAGCAAGCCTGCACATGGTAAGAATTCATGTTCTTTAAAGAATTTTTGAGCTATAAAACACCTGTAATTGAACAAATGAAGGGGAGATGTGTTTAATACACTACTGTGGAACTTTCCGGGCAAAGAAATAACATCTCCATGGAGACAAGCAATTAGTGGACTCTCCAAAAGTTACACAGTGCACCCTTGTGGATCAATAAAGTTTGTCTAAGTTTGTCTAGCAATAACATCTCCATGGAAAACAAGCAGGTGGCTGACACTCTTCCAGAAAGGTTACATAATGCACCTTTAAGACTGAAATGTATTTGTTAAGAAAAATCTATACAAATTAATGTTAAAATAATATGGAAAAAATAAAATTGATTCTAATCTTCTGACCACATCGCCCAGTGGTACATGGTAGTCATAGCAGTAACAGCAGTAATGGACCTCTCGCTAACCCCTCTATTTTCCACTATTCACACTTCCCACTCTAGATTATGATCCAAAAAGGGAGTGTGTTTGCTATCTCGTTGTAATTACTTTGGTGTCAGAAAGTCTCCGCTCAGGCTGAATCAACAGCGTGGCCGTGATAGTGTCAAAGCACTGATAGATGAGACTGTAACTGAAGCAGGCTGAGCTCCACTGAGGAAACTGTGAACCAGAGTCCTCCATACGCCAGGGTCAAACACACACGGCATTCCACACATGATTTTGAGACGGGATCATGGATTTTAGAGGGAAGAGGGAGCAAAGTGTGTGGGATACCTTTACTGTTGCCTCCTGCTTTCTGTCTTCTATATACAATAGCGTAATCCTTCATGAAAGCTGCAGTAAACTCTTAAGATGTCTAGTGTAGAAATCAGGCAAAAGTATTTGTGGAGTTGTATTAGTAGAATTAGCCGTTGTAGCAGTAAATGGTATCAGTTTTGAATTTTCTACAGTTTACACCAATTGTGACTTTAAAAACGAAAAAATGTGATTCTGTATTTAATCAACTTTTTATCAATAATAGTATATTCTACAGAATAGGTGCGGACTTGCAAGTCGTGACTTGGACTTGATTCAGACTTGAGTCACTATTTTTAGGACTAAAGACTTGACTTGATAAAATGGACTAAGACTTGGGACTTGACTAGGACTTGAAGGTCAGTGACTTGGGAATTGGACTTGAGCCCTGTGACTTGAGAAGACTTGATGCTTCTCCTAAAAAAATAAATATTTTAACAAAATACTTTTCTCTTTACAGTTGATAAATCGGGTGCTGAATTTTACAGGAACAAACTGGAACATGTCCCTTGCACTTCTCCAATTGTTATTTTGGATTGAACGGAAGTACTGTGATACCCAAATGTACTACAGTAATATACAGTACAATACAGTAAATTACAGTACAGTACAGTAAAACTGAGGGAACTACACAGAACATGATCCTTCTATTTCAGTGCAGACTACACGACAAAGTTACTGTTATTTTTATTTATTTTTTTGTCTGAATTCTTTCTATTCTGACTGTAATGATGCACACTAAGATCTTGTCAAGACGTTTAAAAAGGAAAAAGTACCATTTCTACGAGTCTTATATAAGTACTCATATAGAAATATACCATGACCTTTTAAGTATTGTTTAGTTTAAAAGTCATATAAATAGCAAAAATGTGAGCTATATTTGGTTTAAAAACCTGAAATCTCAAACTTGAAGCTCAAAGCAGACAACTTGGACTTGACTTGGACTTATGGGCCAGTGACTCGAGACTTGACTTGGACTTGAGGTCAAAGACTCCAGACTTACTTGAGACTTGCAAAACCCACCTCTGATAAATGGACATAGCTAACCCGCTAGTTGCCGCATTCCAAGGAAATAGGAAATGATTACGGGGGTGCTTCCGGCTCCATCGACTCTGGCTCCCGTTGTTGAGAAATTGTCACTCCTCTCTCTGTAACTGCTGCTTGAGAATATTGTCTGTAAATAAATTCCTATTCCTAATATGGAACTGGCTCCAAATTTGCTCCTATAACTGCTAGCCTCGTGAGCTTCATTTGACTGGAGCCGAACGTTGTGAGTGACGTCACATTCCCTTAGTTGATTTCTTTATACAGTCTATGGTTAAATAATATAATAAACCGCTAAAATAAGTCAAATGAAAGATTTTAAATGTTTTGCAAACTGAAATTGCGTCAGTATTTTTTGCCATGTCGTCATTTTTTTCATTCATCCTGGCCTGAAAAGTTTGGGCCCCAGATCTAGACACTGGATAAATTAGAAGTACTCATAATAATGACATTTTTGTAAGCATTTTAGCCATTGAAATATATGTGTAAAAATGTATATTGTGAGGACATTTGTGGTGTGCTAGCAAGCTACAAAAGTAATTTAATAAAATGCACAGTAGCAGGGCTAACATTTTGCAATGTTGTTTGGGCATTTTTGGTAAACACAAATAGAAATAGGGAGTGCATTACGAAACTTATTTTTGCCTTGTCCATTCCAGGAACAACAACAAGTGGTACAAGTAAATGGCAAATATTTCCCATGGATATTTTTAAATCTGTTATTGCTAGAATTAGGGATGAGCCAAAACTGATGCTGCCATCAAATATTGGCACCAATACTGAACATTTTTGATGGATTGGGGTATTGATTTCATGATATCCGTTCTGCCAATATCCTGGCTCAACCTTTAATTGGTTGTAATAAGAATATTTACAGGCTGAATTTGGCCTTGGACGTCTCATAATGTTTGAACTTTTATTCATACTCAGCTGCTCAGTACTGATTTGAAGGATAAATAACAGTTACATAATACAATTGGATCTCTGTGTAATCAGTTAACTATGTTAAGTTCCATTTTCCATCTCTACACTGGTATCAGCTGATATTGGGCATCAGCAGATACTTAGTCAAAATATTGATATCAGTAACAAGACTTAATTTTGACTTTTATATTGAAGCTTTATAAAAATGCTTGAGCTCACCACTGATGTTGTTATGGTATTTGAGTATTTGATTGTTACTGAGATGTTCTAACACTTTGATGTATTGATTTTCAGCTATGCGGTGGCAGATAACTCTTACCGCTCGATGAGGACGGAGAGGAAGGACCAGTGTATCCTGATTTCTGGAGAGAGCGGAGCTGGAAAAACTGAGGCGTCCAAGAAGATCCTGCAGTACTACGCTGTGACCTGCCCCGCCAGCGATAAGGTCCAGACCATCAAAGACCGTCTGCTCCAGTCCAACCCCGTACTGGAGGTGAGACCACAGCAAGATTTAAGATTGGATCTGTTTTTGTTTTTTAGTTTTACTGATTATTTTATAAGCTTACCTGAACAAATGCACATGTGATATTGTCATTTGATGTGTATGGATTGTCTTAAAGGTCCTATAATTACACAAAAATGACTCGTGTGAGCTTTAAGTCATATTATAATGTTACATGTTAATGTTACGTTATCAAGAACACACCTGGAGTTGTATTTTTTGTTTTATTCACACGTTTGAGTTATCATGTATTATTATTCTGTCTACATCTCCAAAGCTCAAGATGCTCTGTTCCACCTTGTGATGTCATAAATTAATAAAACTAATGAAATCTATTAGTGTATGGAGTTTAAAAACACATAGAGCATGCAGTTTTTGTGTGTTAAATGAAACAAAACACAACTCCAGGTATGTTTGTGATGAGGAAACAACATTATAACATAGATCTGAACATAGCATAGTAGATATGGACCTTATAATGTCTGCCTACAGTATTTATATCTACAGTATCTATATATTTTCATATTTCTTATTTCTACATTACTTACTTCTATATTTCTCTCCATAGGCTTTTGGAAATGCCAAGACTCTGAGGAATGACAACTCCAGTCGCTTTGGAAAATACATGGACATCCAGTTTGACTTCAAGGTGAAATTGATTGATCAAATGAAAACAGTTTACTAATTTAACATAATTTTATTCTTGCTCAACTTTAAATCAATTCATGGGCTTCAAATTTAGAAAAAAAAAATAGCACTTGCTGTGGCAATTAACAAAAAAAAAAACAAATATTGCATGGACGAAAGTCACTTGTGAAACAGAAGCTGAAACCCACTGAAGACTTTATTACAAGACTTCATCATTGCTTATTGCTTTGTTTAGTCATTGAAAGATCTTACCAGATTCACTCTCAAGGAATTGACGTTTTTATAGATTCATTCAAGATGGAGAAACATGTTAAGGGACATTCAGTTCATTATTATTAAGCAGAAATAACCTGTACGTGGTATTAAAAGGTACTTGGTCAGATATTGTACATAATATATCACTCCTTCTTGCGTGTAGTACATTTGCACACACATTGTTCCCTGTGACCCCCCTTAACTTTCCCGCTTGACCATCACTCCATCTTTCCCTCTTTCCTTCTTCTCCTTCTTTCTCCTCTCCTCTCTCCCCCTCTGCTCTCCCTCTCCCCTTCTCCTTTCTCCCTCTCTCCCAATCTCCCCCTCTCCTCCTTTCTTCTCTCTCCTCTCCTCTGACCTCCTCTCCCCCTCTCACCCTCTCATCTGTCCCATCTGCAGGGAGCCCCCGTGGGAGGACACATCATAAACTACCTCCTGGAGAAGTCCCGTGTGGTGCACCAGAACCACGGAGAGAGGAACTTCCACATCTTCTACCAGCTGATCGAGGGTGGAGAGGAGGACCTGCTCCGGAGGCTGGGGCTGGAGAGGAACACGCAGCAGTATCAGTATCTCATCAAAGTAAGTCACTACAGTTTGATAAAAAAAAACAGAGCTAAAGGCAAATGACGTATGTACAGTATGTACAAAAAACTAAAAAGACAAACACTCAAATGCTCAAAACCAGTTGTCTAAGTCCAGTTCTATTAATATTTAACAATGTGGAAGTATGTACAAGTTATTCCTTTCTTTTTTTGCGCTGTTGTTGAAAGAAAACACACACTGAAAAATGTCACTTTCGATAAATACTAGAGATAGAGGGATACTTTATTGAGCTCCAGGGAAATTCATGTTTTCCTGCAGCCAACTGTTGCAGATTATGTTGCTGCAACATTTCCACTGTGTGTCTCAGTGACCTTTGTGTCTCAGTCAAAGGTCTCAGTGTGATTTAACAGGAGGACTGGTTAGGGAGGGTCAACAGTGTGGCCTTTCCTGTGGAAGGGCCAAGGTGTCCCTCCTCTGTGTTCTTCAGCAGCTCTTACTCTGCTCTGTTTTTTTTGTTGTTGAGGAAATGGTCCATTCCCTCAAAATATTCCCTCTGGAAGGTCTTCTACCACATTCGCTGCCACATTCGCTGCCTCATATGATGTAAAAAGCCTGTAGCATCTCAAATGCCCACAGCTATACATGCATCACAAATTTCTGGCTTCCCGTCATCTCACAATGCATACAGGGAAGGATTTTCCAAAAAAGTGAGCATCAAACCGCCATACTTAATTTCCCAGTGGGATGCGTCTATTGACAAAGCCAGTCTTTTCTAGTCTTTTGAACCATATTGCTTTTGTTTCTAGTTCTGATATCCTCATATTTTAGTTTTGGGATTCAGACATCGTAATTGTGTGGTTGTTGGATGTCCTAACAGCGGAAAACGGCGCGAGAAATGGGCTTCAGACGTTTGTGATCTCCATAAATGCAAAAGGGAATCAGATCTGTGTGAATCACGTTTTGGTCACTTTGCAGTGGAAGGTGATTCTTGGCGAACAGCTGGTGCCTTTCGCTTTGGCATTGAATTTTTAAATTCGTAACCAAGGTTGAGCGCTCCACATACAAAATGTTCGATGCAAACTTGGGATGAGTTCTTAGGCAGTCAAAGGTTTCCTTTTTCGTCCTTCCTGTGTATCAATACTGCCCATCATCTTCGCCTTTCTCTATTTTTCAATTCCGTTGGGAAGGGAAACAGTTAAAACGGAGGTTTGCAGTCACATAGATCTGATTCATTTTTGCAACTATGGAGTTCGCAAACTTTCGAAGCCCATTTCTCGAGCCGTTTTCCGCTGTTAGCACATCCAACAACCACACAATTAAGATGTCCAAATCCCATAACTAAGATATGACGATATCCAGCAAAAGTGATATGGTTCCAAACACTTGAAAAAATCTGCTTTGTCAATAGACGCATCCCACTGGGAAATCAAACATGGTGGGTTGATGCTCACTTTTTCAGAAAATCCTTACCAGTATGCATTGCACAATCACCGGAAGTCAGAAATTCGTGATGCATGTATTATAATTAGGGGTGTCAAATTATCGCGTTAATTGCGATTAATTAATTACAATCATATTTAGCGCGTTATGTTTTTTAATCGCGTTAATCTCATTTTTAATCTCTAACTTTACTGTTTCTGTATGCGAGTTGCTTTATTATAAAATCTGTTTTTATGTGTTGTTGGGACAACAACACATAAAAACACATTTATACATTTTTTTATTTCGGTAATTCCACTCATTGCCGGAAACCCACACAAAACGCGCGCAGTAAGAGCGATGTAAACGTCATGTTCACGTTGGCGGCGTCAGTCGCACAATGGACGAGGTCAAAGAGCCAGTAGAACAGAGGCAGCAGTGCACAGGTAAAAACACATTCGTGTCTTGGAAATTATTCTCCCGACGTGAAATATAAAAGAAAATAACAAATATAAAATCGCCTACAACTTAAATGTCACTGGTGAAAACAGCCTGCATAGGCTCATGATGTCTGCACTACTGTCCTATAGTGACCTGCCACATGAGGGGACACACACACAAACACACACAACACACACCTTCATCATCGTCATCAACCTGAGAACGCGCGGACCACGTTTCCTTCCGTAGACACTGCGCGGACACCGACGTGCTCCCGTGAGCCGCGTGTGGATCGTATTTTCTCGCTACGCTGCGTAAACCGCGCTTCCTCCTGTGCGCCTCTAAACCAGAACTAACACCAAGACTAAAACCGGGACTAACCCAGTCCAGGACTAAACCAGGTCTAAACCAGGTCTAAACCAGGTCTAAACCAGGACTAAACCAGGACTAAACCAGGACTAAACCAGAACTAAAACCAGAACTAAAACCAGGTCTAAACCAGGTCTAAACCAGGTCTAAACCAGGTCTAAACCAGGACTAAACCAGGATTAATCCATTCCAGGACTAAACTAGGACTAAAGTAGGACTAAAGCAGGTCTAAACCAGGACTAAAACAAGGACTAAAACCAGTGATCTCATATATAAAGCATTTCTCTATCAATAATATTTTTAATATGGTTAAGGAAAGACTGGACTTTTTATTGTCTTTAAGTAGACAAAAGTTATTATGTTCAGATTTCTTCATCTTTGCTACTTTACAGCAAACAGTTTCTTATTCATGGAGACTTGGGCTCAACAACCAATTTGCAGAGATTTGTTAAACAATAAATTACTTTATAAAGTCACTTTTTTTTGTTCTATATCAGTCTTTTGATCTGCCACAATAATGTAATAATGAATTTAAATGAAAATACCTCAAATTGAAGGCTTTTCTCAGCAATTTTTGGTGAGATTAAAATGAGATTAATTAGATTAATTAATTACAGATCATAATTAATTAATCTCTCAATTTTTTTGAATCGCATGACAGCACTAATTATAATAATATCGAATAACTCTTGCTCCACCATGCCAATTTACCTGATGAAAGAATTATTTTTATTTACCATTTGTATACTTTGAAGTATATTGTAAGTTAAAAATTGATGACTTGTTTTATTCCAAGACATTCTGAACACTTTAGTCCAAGCTTGGTAGTGAACCTGTGTACTACCAACATCCAAAGAGTCTAATGCTTTGCATTTTTGATAATTCATGCTTTCATGCTATGGCAATTGTTCTGTTATAGTGATTATGTAATTCAAATCTAAGCATTATATTTTTTGAATAGGCAAAGGTCCTCACAAATCCTTCAAATCAGGAAGAAATAGTATTGTAAGAGTCTAAAGAGTTATGCAAAATAAAAGAAAGAATGCATGAGTGACTCCATAGTTTAATCTGTTTATTAGTGCTTCTCTATATAGCTGCATTTGCCAGTCCTAGTACTCAATGCACAGGGTGTGTCTTTATTTGACCAAGAATTAATTATGCTTACTACAATCCTAACTATTTTATATTAGATATTTGTTTCATTATCTACTTATAGACTTTGATTAACTATAAAAACAAACAAACAATACAATACAATAAGCTGGTACAAGCCTTGCACAGTGTTAGTCAAGGCCCCAGTGGGATTTCTGTTTTCTCAGTCTGACTCTTCCCCTGAGGCCAAGCGCTGCGTTCAGGCTCCCTCCGAAAACACAGCTTCACCAACACACACACACACGCACACATACACCAACTGTTAGTGCCCCAGGACAGCACTTCACACGTGTGTCAACAGCCCTTTACGTGTTACTGATGTTTATGGAACCTGCTACATCTGTTAAGAACTGAAGAACACGGTGTGGTACAATGTGACACTTTTAACTACCTGCTCAAAAAAATCATTTATCATTTATTAATCATTTTGTCAGAATCAATCAGATCATTAAAGGTACATTGTGTAGCTTTTTTGGTGGAGGGTCCATCACCTGCTTGTTTTTATGGAAATGTCATTTATTGCATTTATTCAATTACAGGTGGTTTTATAGCTCAAAAATACAAGCATTCTGACTGTGAGCGGGGTTGTCTCTTCACAGATGTGACCTGTGACTTGGTCTAGTTTAGTCTACTTGAAGATTGAAAGGTTTAATCTCATACTGTGAAACATCCCAGACAAAGCAAAAACATCTGCATGAAGAAAATCATTTGAACGCTGCACCAGAAACGTTTCACAATGCAATTTCATTTCAAATTTTCTGTCAATATTGAGAATAAATTTACTTCTAGACCACCAACAGATGTAGGGAAAGTCTACGTAATATTCACAAAACTCATAGTGTAATTCCCTTAAGTGAATTTAAACACACAATATCTGTTTTCTTTTCATTGCAAGTGTTTTAACTGAATGTATGTACTTTTTATTGCACATTTTTATTCACTGTAAATGTTTTGAGTTGGGAGTTCCTAGTTAAATAACATAAATATTATAGATGGTTAGTGTATATCATATGTTGGTCTTTATTAGTTTTTTTAATGTTTTTTAGGGAAACTGTCCCAAAGTGAGCTCCATAAACGATCGAAGCGACTGGAAAGTGGTGAAGAAAGCCCTCACGGTGATTGGCTTCAATGAGGATGAAGTAGAGGTGAGTGCTACAAGGTTTTATACAGTCTGTCAAGAGCTGTTTTTAGGTCCTATATTACACAGAACTGACTCTTGTGAGCTTAAAACATGTTAGAATGTTGTTAGCTCCTCAAAAACATACCTGGAGTTGTGTTTTGTTTCATTCATACATGTTTGAGTAACCCTTTATTATTAGTGTGTCTACATCTCCAAAGCTCGAAATGCTTTGTTCCAACTTGTGATGTCATGAAGTGGTAGTTTTCAAGTTATCAGCTACCTTTTACTTTTTTTTCAGTAGAGATTGGCAATTCCATCCAACTACTGAAGATGTATGGAGTTCAAAAACAGCGGATCACTTCCTGTATTAACACATGACATCACAAGGTGTAACAGAGTGTTTTCAGTTTGAGAGAAGAATGCAGCCTAAATATGCAGGGTTTGTGTGTTAAACATGTGTGAATGAAACACAACTCCAGATATTTGTTTGATTATAGCATAGATCAGAAAATAGCCTAATACGGGCCCTTTAAGCAGATAGTTTTTTAGCTGCTGATGCATAAAATCTGACTTGTAAAAAGTACTATTGATTTATTTACGTGTAAAACATCTAGTGTAGCTTACATTGTGATATCTGAGGTTACTAGTATTTGTTTAGTTTCAGGGTGGTTGTCCTAAGGCAGGGTTAAGCCTAAACATACAGAGATACTGTACAATGATTTTCTTAGGTACACTGAACACTGTGTAATGCTGTTGTGTTGTGTTCACCCTCCACTGTGATTGGTTATTGATACTTTACAGTGACATCAGCTGGGGGTGTTCTACATGTATTTTTTTTTTAGCAGAATGTTTGTCAGTTATCATAGTGACGCAATGCAGCATGACCAAACACTGTCAAAAAAGTTTTAAGATTGTCTGAAAACTCAGGATATCAGGATATGGTGATTGATTTGATTGAGTGATTTGATTTGAATGGGGACAGTAGCTCAGTTGGTTAGAGCGTTTGTCCACTGATCCAAAGGTTGGTGGTTCAACTCCCACTCTCAACATAAACGTTATTGGTTGAGCTGGCCCACAGGTTGGCTGGTGTGATTCCAGCTCCCACAGATGAATGCTGTCATTGTGTCCTTGGGCAAGACACTTAACCTACCTTGCCTCAGTGTCTGCGTACTCTGGTATATGAATGGGTGAGTGGTTTCTTGATGTAAAGCTCTTTGAGTGCCTTAAAGGTGAAAAAGCCCTATTTACCATTTATTATCATATTGCTTAACCCTACTTAAAGCTACACTGCGTAACTTTACCAGTGGAAGGTACACCACCTCTTGCGTTCAGTGAAATTTTCCACAGTATGGCATTAAACAAAGAGTATAGCCATATACCTACATCATTGTAAATATCTTTTTAAAACGTACTGCTTTGAGTTTGAGAAATCTCACATGTTGAATTATAACACCATTTATTTTTTATTGCTTGAGTATTGCTTTTTAGTCTGTTTTACTTATTATACTTATGTCAGATTTCAAACTTTTAGCATGTATTTCCTGTGAAATCCTTCCCGGTGACAGCATGAGCTATGCAGCACATTCTCCCCTGTGTTTGAATTGGGCCGTTTCCGTTTGCGAAGCCATTTGAGAGTATATCTGCGGTCATTATACAGAGAGGAGTTATTTGTGCTCAGCGTGGGAGTCTTCGTGTGTTTTATAAGTCTGGGCTCGGGTCCAGATCTCTATAGGTCTCATGCTGTTTGAGAGACGCAGGTGTGTGCACTTAGAATACACTGTTATGTAATCGTATACAGTCAAAATAAAAGCCATATTTTGCTGATAATAGGAAGGAGTACTGAAGATTTGTACTCAACTTAAGGTGCATGTATGTATGTTACTTTTCTACTGCAGGGTCTGTCAACTTCTTGTTTCTATGGATATGTCATTGCTCTGCCTGGAATCTTCCACAGTATGATATTAAACAGTACTACCTTACATTTGAGCTCAAAAATACTTAGAAAAACAGGTATTGGGGTGAGCAAGGTCATCTCTCCACAGATCTGACCTGTAACCTGGTCTAGTTTGGTCTTCGTGGAGAAAAGCATTTGACGAATCCTCCACCAGAAAAGTTACACAATGCACCTTTTAAAATGCATTTATTTGGATTAAGACTCAAGTACTCAATTACAACAAGCAGTGCTGGCAAATTTGTACTTTAGTGTTAAGTATACGCTTGGAAAATACTCCTCACAGTACTAGTTACTTCTTTCACAATTGCAAGTTAGATTTAAATCCCTGCTACACACAAAACCTGCTTATTTTCTTCTGTCAAAGGGAAAACACTCTCCACTCCACGTTGTGATGTCACGTGGTAACGCAGGACGTACTCCACTGTGGTTTTAAACTCCATACACCTTTAGTAGAATCATTTGGATAATTTCAACCCTGGAATTCTCATTTTCTATTAAACAAAAAAGGAGCAGTTAATTTGAAAAGTAGCACTTAGTGACTTCACAAGGTGGAACAGAGCATTTAGAGTTTTGGAGATATAGACTCAAACATGAAACAAAACACAACTCCAGGTCTGTTTTTGAGGAGATAACAACATTCTAACATGTCTTAAAGCTCACAAGAATCCATTTTGAGTAATATGACCTTTTAAAGTATCGGCTGATCTAAGTGGTTAGATCTGTACTGATCAGACTCTGACTAAAGCGCTATAAAGATAAATATAATCTTATCTTGACACTCTTTCATGTTTATTGCCTTACGGATGATCTTGATCTAATCTTCTTCTTTGTTTTCCGTTGCCATAGGAACTGCTGAACATCATTGCCAGCGTACTCCACCTGGGGAATGTGCAGTACGGAGGAGAGGACGGCATCGCCTCCATCACCTCGGATACGCAAATCAAGTACCTGTCCCGGGTGAGTCTTTGTCCAAATCGTGCCCTAAATGTGTATTAGACCCAAACTAATAATATGTATTGATAAATAGAATCTGAAAACCTATAATATGTGCCAAATAGATATAGTTAAATAATTATGTATATGTTTTTAAATGGCTCCTTTTGATTGTTTGACTTTGACTCATGATTAAACTACTGAATACTGAAACTTTTTTGTTTAAAATGCAATGTGCAGTGAAATCAATAATTCTTTGATAAACTGACCTATTAATTAGTTAAAGAAATTACACAGAATATGAATAACTAGTGTATGTTTTGGAGGCATTTATTGAATACATTTGTTTTTATGTACTTGGATACTGGTGCACTATGTACATTTTTGGTTGAGGGTCTGTCATCTGCTTGTTTCTCTGGATTTGTAACTGCTCTGCCTGAAATGTTCCATAGTATAGCATTAAAGAGCTCTACTTTACATTTATTCAATTAAGGTGGTTTTATAGCTCAGAAATACCTAGAAAAATAGCCATTCTGACTGTGAGCGTGGTCGCCTCTCCACAGATCTGATCTATAACCTGGTCTGGTTGGTCTCCGTGAAGATAGAAAGGTTTAATACTATACTGTGAAACATTCTGGACAATAATAGTAATAATAACATCTACAGGAAGAAAAGCATTTGACGGACCATCCACCAGAAAAGTTACACAATGTACCTTTCAAACCTTTTTATGAAAATTTAGATTTAGAGACATTTAACACACATGCTAGTTTAATTCAGAGCGTTAAATTGTAAGAAGTACAACTCCTATTCCCACATGTAATTTATTCCTGAAAGTTTATTTGTATTTCTCACATAACTTGACAGATCTTACCAAGATTTCGTCTGTATCTTGGTTTATTTATTGATATTGTGAATGGTTGCGGTGTGTGCTAACTTTGCTCCTCTGTCTGCAGTTGCTGGGAGTGAACGGGGCTGTGCTGACAGAAGCTCTTACGCATAAAAAGATAATCGCCAAAGGGGAGGAGGTAGGCTGCTACACTGTTGCATTGTGGGTGATAATTGTTTGTATACAGGGCTTTCCTATGAGTAATGTCTGCTACAGGCTTAATTACATTTTAGCGGTCTCACGATTTATGTTATGACTGGACTAAACTTGGACTAAACTTGGACTAAACTTGGACTAAACTTGGACTGAACCTGGACTGAACCTAGACTAAACCTAGATTGAACCTGGACTAAAACTGGACTAAAACTGGACTAAAACTGGACTAAAACTGGACTAAATCTGGACTAAATCTGGACTAAACCAAGATTATAAAACACTGTGTATGCTGTTGTTGAAAAGAAAACCTCTCTGCCCTGATTATAAACAAGAGTATTGTATATTGGCTATTACATTTCCTACTTGTTCTCCAAGTTTATATAAAACTAAACCAGGTCTAAACAAGGTCTAAAACCAGGTCTAAAACCAGGTCTAAACCAGGTCTAAACCAGGTCTAAACCAGGTCTAAACCAGGTCTAAACCAGATCTTGACAAACTAAGGATCATGTTCATACTTGTCTTGGTCTTGAGCCCAGTGTTGTCCTGATGGCAGACCTGTTTTGATTCTGTTCTAGTCCTGGTTTAGTCCTGGTCTGAATTTAGTCCCAGTTTAGTTCCAATTCTGATGATGTGTGCAAATGTAAACTCACAAACCAAACAAATTAAAACTGACTCTTGTGAGCTTTAAACCATATTAGAATGCGGTTATCTTATCAAAAACATACTCAGAGTTGTGTTTCATTTCATTCACACATGTTTGAGTAATCCATTATTAGCCTGTTTACATTTCCAAAGCTCAGAATGCTCTGTTCCAACTTGTGATGTTATGAAGCAGTAGTTTTCAGGTTAACGGCTACCTTCAGTTTAGTAGAGATTATAATTCCAGGACTGAAATTATCCAAATGATTTTAGTGTGTAGGTGTATTGAGTTTAAAAACATGGTGACACATCCTGTATCACCTGCTTCTAAGCCTAAATTTGCAGAGTTTGTGTGTTAAACATGTGTGAATGAAACAAAACACAACTCCAGATATGTTTGTGATGAGGAAACAACATTATAAAATAGATCAGAAAATAGTAATATATAGTAATGGGCCCTTTAACCACAAATTAACCAGGACTAGAACATGATTTGATTAGTTTTGTTCTGTTCATATCCATAGTTGGTGAGCCCTCTGAACCTGGAGCAGGCCTCCTCCGCCCGGGACGCTCTGTCTAAAGCTGTGTACGGACGCACCTTCACCTGGCTCGTCAACAAGATCAACGCTTCACTGGCCTATATGGTAATACCATAGACTTTTTAATTAAAAACTACATAGCTAACCCGTAGCATCCAAATTCCAAATAGGAAGTGAAGTTGGGGGTGCTTCAGGCTTCATAGACTCTGGATCCAATTGACTTTACATTGGAAAACATCTCCTCTCTCTCTGTAACTGCTGCAGTGGGACTCATTTTTGGGCTTAAAATCTTCGTATTAACCCGCAATCATGTGATCCTTGTGTTTTTATTTAGCTTTTTTTTTTGCTAATAAATTCCTATTCCTAATATGGAACTCTGGTCCAAATTCACTCCTTTAACTGCAAGCCTCATGAGCCAAACATTGTGGGAGACATCCTTTTTCCTCCTTTTTCCACTTCTTTATACAGTTTATGGGTCATACTAATTTAACAATATAATTAATATAATAACTTCTGTCTTTTCTTCCCAGTGCTATTACTGTTATATAGCATGCATTCTGTTATGGTGTAGCAGCACCCCCTTGTGGCCAAGAATCTACCATGACAGAGTTATGATACCAATATCAACAATTAATATAAAAGAAAATCAGTTAATACCATAATTGAGTATAAAATGTATCTTACCAAAGCATAGAGAGCATAGAGTGTTCATTATTCATTATATGCAAATGATTCCTAATTTGTTATTTTAAATAGCGGATGTTTGCTGTGTGAAATAATAAATGTATTGAATGTTGTGTTTTAGGATGATTCTTACAAGCACTACTCTGTGATCGGCCTCTTGGACATCTATGGATTTGAGGTCTTCCAAAACAACAGGTAAACATATAAAAACTCTTAATTACACAAATCAATCAAAATACACTTTATGAGTGTGCTTACAATTGCCAGTTCTGTATTTTAACTCCTAAATATTGTTTTGTTTCAGTTTTGAGCAGTTCTGCATCAACTACTGTAATGAGAAACTGCAGCAGCTGTTTATTGAGCTCACCCTGAAGTCTGAGCAGGACGAGTACGAAGCTGAGGGCATCACGGTAGGACCAAATTATACTACTACTGCTACTATTATTACTACTATTACTCCTCAATACATTATTACTATGCTGAATGTTTTGTTCCTGTTCTGAAGTCACATTTAGTTAATAATGGCTTGTTGGGTTTATTCTGCCACACTACAGCGCTCCCTTGTGGCCATTTCTTTTCTTACACATCCCTGTTGAGAAAATAAAACTATTCTTAGCAGGCTACACTAATAACATTTTTAACTTAGAGATATTTGTTTAACTTATTTGGCCTAAAGAGACAAGCAAAATATGTGTTGTTTCATGTCTTTATTTCAAGTAAATTATGAAGAATGTGGATTGTAGAAAGTAGCCTCAGTTTTTGTTTCATTTTTTAAATTAATAATTATATTTTAAATAACTATACATAGCATAAGTTTTAAGCCTTGGGCATTTATTTTTGACTGCACCTTCTTGGTATAATCCAGCCTGTCCGACTCCTACCACATGGTTCCAGCTGCTAATATGTCATTTGTTAGTTCTATTATTATCCGAACAATCACTATTATTATTTGGAGACCTTTAATGGACCAGCACTTAAATCTGTTCATAATTCAAACAAAACATTTCTCTCTTTGTTATTTCATGTCATTTCAACCATAGACAGTCAAATAATAAGTCTATGAATTTATGCTTTTATGTCTCGTTTGTTTTGCATTGTGGGACAAGAGCCCGTTGTGTTAATGTGAATGCAGAGCAAACACGATGTGGGAGACGCTTTGAGTTTGCTTCATAAAGAGCCCATTATCGACTGACGTGAAAACTGTGGGTTGAGTAACTGTGTACAAATGATGCGGTGGCTAACCCTAACATGGTAACACAGCTGCTGTACATGTGTCTGCTCCATACGTCCGAGTGGGTGAGGACTAGATTCCTTACATTGTGTACATGGCTGGCAATACATAAATCTTCTTCTAGTATACGAAAGTGTGTAAAATATGCAGTATGTGAGTATAAAATGTGCACTGAGTTTGTTTGTTGTTTTCCAGTGGGAGCCGGTTCAGTACTTCAACAACAAGATCATCTGTGACCTGGTGGAGGAGAAGTTCAAAGGCATTATTTCAATTCTGGTAAGAAAAAAAACAAAAAACAAAAGAGTATGTGTCAGTGCTGGGAATGTTTTTTGCTGAGAATGTTCCACAGTATTGCATTACTTAGGTGCCCATATGTCCCTACTGAACCAAGGACAGTCCCAGTCCTAACAGATTTATACAAACCCAGTCATTTGTCCCACTCCCAGTTCCAGCTGTCCCTTTTTTTTGTCCAACTTTAACCCCGCCAACAGTAAACAAGGGACTATACAGTTGTTTATTTAGTTAAAATACAGAAAACTGCTTCAAAATGACCATAAGACGAAAAAATGCACAGAATAGACAATGTTATGCACTCCTTTTACAATTTTATTTATACCAACCATTCCAACCTGGGTGTGTCCCACTTTTGAATTTTGAAACTCTGGTCACCCTACCGTAGAAACATGCCCATAGTTAAGTATTTCCAAAACATCACTGAAGTTAAAGCTGCACTATGTAACTTTTTGCTCTGAATGTTCCACAGTATTGTGTTACTAAGGTGACCGGACTTCCCTATTGACCCAGGAGAGTCCCAGTTTTGAGCCCCGTGTCCCCCGTTCGAGCAGATTTTTACAGAACCAGTGATTTGTCCCAACTCCAGTTGTATACAAGAAATGTCGCAGTTGTCCGTTTATTGTCCAATTTTATGCCCGCCAACAGTAAACAGGGGACAATACAGTCATTTGTTTAGCTAAAATACAGGAAATCGTGCTTCAAAATGACCATAAGGAAAAAAAAAAAGATAAAATAATGCACAGGATGGACAATGTTACACACTCTTTTCACAATTTTATTTATACCAAAAATCCCAACCCGGGTGTGTCCCAGTTTTTAATTTTGAATCTTTGGTCACCCTACTGTAGATACATTCCCATAGTTTAGGATTTCCAAAACCTCACTGAAGTTAAAGCTGCACTATGTAACTTTTTGCCTTGGAATGTGCCGCAGTATTACATTCCACATATTCATATTACATTTATTTCATTTCACGAGTTTTTATTGCTCACAAATATATTGAATGACATGCGTTTTTACTGTTACCTGTATCACCTCTTCACAGATCTGACTTGTATCTTGGCCTGTTGTCCATGTACAGTAGTTGCTTAGTCTACATTTAATGCCATACTATGTAATATTCTAGGCAAAGAGTTGTCTTCTTCATTGAGAACCATATAAATGTAAATCTATAAAGCAGGTGATATATTCTGATAAACTTGATGTAAAATATTGACAATGGCATTGAATAACAGAGAGTCTGCGTAAAGGTCACACTCATTTTATCGACCTAAATAAAACTGTCTCACATAATTTTATTTTATGCTTTTCTCTTCAGGACGAGGAGTGCCTGAGACCCGGAGACGCCAGTGACATCACCTTTCTGGAGAAACTGGAGGACACAGTGGGAGGACATCCGCACTTTGTCACGTAAGTTTAAGCTTTTTGTTTACTAGTGCAACAAAAAATAAGTGTTATTAACAGAATAAACAGCCACTTTTGACTGTAAATGAGTAATTTTTTTCTATAGGCACAAGCTGGCTGATGGAAAGACCCGTAAGGTGATGGGGCGAGAGGAGTTTCGACTGCTGCACTACGCTGGAGAGGTCAACTACAATGTCAACGGTGAGGAGAAGAAGAATACATGTTAATTTACTTTACGTTTATTTACATACTGACAATATCGTGCCCAAAATAAACCACTCTCTATAATCTGGACAGCCTTTTGTAAATAAAAATGCATAAAGGGGGAAGCAGTTAGTATGAGGAATAGTAATAGGAGCCAAAGATGGTGATAATTGATAATCAAAGTACGCTTTATATCATTCTTTTCTAAGTCATATATCTTAATTTAGTTTAGTTTTTTTGTTTGTTTTTTAATAACATAAGAATTCCATAAATCTGGTCCACCTCACATAATCCACTGGAGATACATCGTTTACTCCTAATGAGATAGATCGTTTACTTTTTAGTTCATACTTTATTGCCTTTCATTCTGGGCCAAAAACTCCCTCAGAGGGGACCATCCCTTAACAAAAGAGTCCAAGTTTCCTTCAAGAATCTTTCATAGGGAAAAAATGTAACATTTATAATCCAATATGTGAAATAATCCTCTTTCCTCTCTCAGGATTTTTGGACAAGAACAATGACCTCCTTTTCAGAAACCTCAAAGAAGTACGTAACTAGAAACAACAAATAATGTGTACAAAAGTATTCAAATATACTAGTGCTGCACAATTGTCTTATCTTTGGCTGATGATGGCTTTTGTGTTCCAGGTTATGTGTATGTCTGAGAACAAGATCCTGACTCAGTGTTTTGACCGAGAGGAGCTGAGCGACAAGAAAAGACCTGACACTGTAAGATTATTATTATTATTTAAATTAAAGCTGCACTGTGTAACTTTTCTGGTAGAGTGTCTGCCACCTGCTTGTCTTCATGGAGATGTTATGGCTTATGTTAAGGCATTAAACATATTCATCTTGCTTTTACTCAATAACATGGGTTTTTGTTGACCTAAAACTATTGATTCTTAGTTTGAGTGGGCTCGCCTCTCCAAAGATCTGACGTTTAACTTAGCCCTGTGGCACTGCCTGCTGTCTCTGTAGAGATAAATAACTGTATTGCTATACTGTGACACATTCCAGGCAACATCTTTATGGAGAGAAGCAGGTAACGGACCCTCCACCACAAAGTTGCACAGTGCATCTCTCAGTTTTCCGATATCCAAATTTTGCAAAGTATGGTCATTTCCACATTCACAGTGTTATCAGTAATCTAGTATATTGCCTTTTACTTCTAAGCAGTTACAAGTATTTCAAAATTATTACTTCTATAGTAATAATAGTAAGAGTATATACTTCTTATAATTTTAAAGGGCCCATATTGCGCCATTTTCTGATCTATGTTAAAATGTCTCTTCATCACAAACAGACCTGGAGTTGTGTTTTGTTTCATTCACTCATGTTTAACACGCAAACCCTGCATATGTAGGCTGAGTCCCTCTCTCAAACTGAAAACACTCTGTTCTACCTTGTGATGTCATGTGGTAATACAGGAAGTGCTTCACTTTGTACACCTTTACTTGAATAATTTGGATGATTTCAGCCCTCGAATTGCCAATCTGTACTGCACTAAAGGTAAAAGGAGCAGTTAACTTGAATAATAATGCATAATATAGGACCTTTATGTCCCAGACTAGTATGTTTTCCCACAGTAAAACAAACGCAGATGTGTGCCCTGTCTCACTGTGGCGGTGGGCGGTCCTAAAGGGGATTCTCTCTCTCTCTCCTACTCTTCGAGGAATGCCCCTTCGAAACAGTGACCCAGTTAAATGCCCTACTGTCCCAAACCACACCGCCAGTCCTTCACAGTGGACCTTGTGTTAGCGTCCACATCATACGACCACTGCTCTGCCCGTCTCGCTATTTTCCTCATTAACGTCACCATCTCTGCATCCTAAAGCATCCGTAAAGTGTTGCATCGCTCTTCCAATCTTTCTGAACTAACTTTTCCCATTTGTTTCCCTTGTCGTGTGTGTGCGGTCAGGCGGCCACCCAGTTCAAAGCAAGTCTGGCGAAGCTAATGGAGATTCTGATGTCTAAGGAGCCGTCGTACGTGCGCTGCATCAAGCCCAATGACTCCAAACAATCAGGTAAAGAGCCGATTTATTTTGTATTCCTGAAGAGAAATGAACTTGCTGGATTTAATCACTTATGGGTGCACTGTGTAACATTTCTAGTGGAGTGTCTGCCATCTGCTTGTCTCCATAAAGATGTTATTGCTTTGTCTAGAATGTTCCACAGTATAGATTAACCCTATCGATCATGAGGGAGACAAGCAGGTTACAGCACTACGCTACATTACAGTTCAGATCTGTGGAGAGTCGCCTCTATTCACAGAAGGAATTAATGCATTTTTGAGAGATAGAAACACATGTAATGAATAAATGTTAAATGGAACTGTTTAATGTTATACCATGGAACATTCCAAAGAAAGAGAGACAAGTAGGTAGTGGACTGTCCAAGTTGCGCAGTGCACCTTTAAAATAAGAAATAGTGTGATGTAGTGTAATTTGCATATTGGTCAGATTAAATGTATTGATTTTTGATTGATGCGATTATTTTATTTTGACCGTATGAGCAAAACATGTACAATAAAAGGAAAGAGATCCGCACTACAGTTGTTTGAAGCTCCCAAATTTTTATTTCAATGACGCCACGTGTGACTTTTGGGTCAAGCTCTTCTTCAAATATATCTGTCTCTTTCCTTTTTTTGTACTATTTTTCTCTTTGGACCCAGCACGCATTTGGAATTTTGGTTGGATGTGCATGTCTCTGTCTGCTATATGAGCAAAATATAACATGAACTTTTGAACAGATTTTTTCTTTGGGATCAATAAAGTGTCTATCTATCAATCCATGTATCTTCTATCAAATGGCTTTTAAATGGCAGAACACAAAGCAGGATTTTTCATGTACAGATTAACACAAAGATACTCTGTCATTTTTGTGTTCACTGCTCACTTGAATAGTAAATTTTATGGATTTATCTCGGTTTGGGACAGGCACAAAAGTTAAATTTGGGTGTTATGGTTGGTTTGACATAGTAATGAGGTGATCTTGGTGTTATTGTGTTATAGCGGTTAGAAACAGTGTTAGATCAGTTCTATTACATGTACGCAAAGTTAAATGGCGGCAGGCTACTTGTTAAATGTGTTAACCAGTCTTCTGTGTGGTGTAAATTAGCTTCACTAATGCAAATACTTTCTTATTTTATCAAAAATTTAAACTAATTCATAAAATTTTCATACACATTAGCAATTTCACAATGTTACACTTGTATTAATTATTATGAAAGAAAAGTTTGCGATTCTCATGAAAATAAACAGTTTTAAAAATCATATCATTGTAACACTTGATCAAACATTATACATTTTACAGACAACTTTTTTAGACTACAGAAGATTATAGATACTAAAATCCTTAACCATAAAAATAGTAGAATCTTTAAATTGATCGATTTTGAGTTTATGTTTTGTTTTATTTAACCATTATTTATCCAGATAGGTCAATTGAAAATGACAAAATGGATGAATCTTGCCATCCCTCCTCTGGTTCACTCTCTCCAGACGCTGCGCTTGTTTCTGTATTTGTGTATATCTATCTGTCATTGTAGTGTTGAGTTTATGGCCTTTGTTTGGTTTCACAGTTCTCCTTTTGTTCATTCACACTGTTTCTCTGTGTGACTCCTACTGCTGCAGCTGAGCCATAACTGCCCCAGTCCGGTTCATTTCTGCCCCACACGTTACATATTTCCAATCTGACAAACAGGACACCCCCCTCTGACCCTCTTTCTATGCCTCATCCATAATGTCTATACATTGGGAGTATTAGGATTCATCTTGTTTATATCTTGGCGACTAGAGTGGTCATATAGTAAGACTTTCATAAATGATAAATTCTACATTCAAAACAATGTATGCTCTAAAAGTGAATGATCTTAAATGTAAATTACATTTTACATCTAACAGCAGCTGTTATACCTGGTATCAATCATCTGGGGAGTCTTTTAAGTGTGATCTTGTTGATTAAGTTAAGGATGGTGTTGATAGAAATGTGTATCATCCCGATTATTTTGTTAGTTATGTTTTACAAAGATTTTTTAAGAGGTAATTGGTCATTGTGCCCGATTTGTAAATGACATAATTGTCCATACTGTTACACATTTCCAGTCTAACTGTTCTGCCCCCTCTCCGTGTCCCCCTCCCCTCTTGTGTGTCCCAGGACGATTTGATGAGGTCCTGATCCGGCACCAGGTCAAGTACCTGGGGCTGATGGAGAATCTCAGAGTGCGCAGAGCAGGGTTTGCCTACAGGAGGCGCTATGAGATCTTCCTGCAGAGGTGAGCATAAACGTATATTTTATCCATGTCAAGGATGTCCAAAGTGGGGCCCGCGGGGAAACTAGGTCCTCCAGGGGGTTTCAATTGGCCGACAAGGGGGCTCTGAGCTCTTCTTAAGAAGAATCTATTTTGATTCAATTTTGTATTGAAAAGACTGTCAGAAGATGGGAAGGAGGCCAATCCTGTCTATTTCACTCAATTCAGTCATACATTTCTTTGCAGAAAAACTGTTTTGCAAACTATCATTACATTTGGACCTCAACCCTCTAATGTGCATTTATTTTGTCCCACTGAGGAAAACTTTGGGCACCCTTGAACTATGATAAAATGACACAGGTTTTGCTTTACTCACCATAACAAAATATTACATTTATGTAAATAGTAGTAGTAGATATTCATTGAATGTGAATATTTGGTGATTATTTTGTACTTTCATGGTACTTTTTGGTGTCTATTACTAAATATACCAGTAAAAGTACAATGTTATATGTGGTCACTATTCATAAATAAAAGCTGTAGAAGCAGTTTGTAATAAGTATAGTTATAATAGTAGTAACGTTGGTTGTAGTACTATGATTATGAAATGAAAAGATATTGTAAAGGTAGTGGGAAAACTCACTTCATTCATACACAGCTGGCATTGTTATATGTTTTAGTCTTATGAACTTTGACCTCTTGCAGATACAAGTCCCTGTGTCCGGAGACGTGGCCCAACTGGCAGGGCAAACAGTCGGATGGGGTGGCCACTCTGGTCAAACACCTGGGATACAAACCAGAGGAGTACAAGCTGGGCAGGTGAGAAAAACACCACTATAATGTTACTATCAAAGCATCACAGAAATCTAATGTTCCTATGTTTTTAAAGGTCCTATATAACACAATATGGACTCTTGTGAGCTTTAAGCCAGTTTGAGTTTTGTTTCATTCACACATGTTTGAGTAATCCTTTATTATTAGTCTGTGTACATCCACAAGTTCAAAACACTCTCTTCGACCTTGTGATGTTATGAAGCAATAGTTTTCAAATTAACAGCTACTTTTTACCTTTAGTTCAGTAGAGATTGGAAATTCAAGAGCTGAATTTATCCAAATGATTCTAATGAATGTGTATGAAGTTGAATACACAGTGGAGCACTTCCTCTATTACCACATGACATCACAAGGTGGAACAAAGTATTTTCTGTTTGAGAGAAGCCTCAGTATCAGCCTAAATATGCAGGATTTGTGTTTTAAAGCGTGTGAATTAAACAAAACACAACTCTGCATGTGTTTTTGATGAGGAAACAACATTATTACATAGATCACAAACTAGCTTAATATGGGACTTTTAATACATTTATTTATTTATTCATTCATTTATTTATTTGTTTGTTTGTTTGTTTATTTAATAGGGAAAGTGCATATTAATGAACATCTACAACATTGCAGTGTAAATGTGATAGATTATAGCAAAAATTTCCATCTGTAGTCCCTAAGCAGATGACACCACAAATTTAACAGCAAAAACAAGTGACAGTTATACACTAAAAATGTCCACAAGTCTGGTTTTCCGAACATCTTACAATTAGCAACATATTGCTTTATTTGTTATTTCATATGTTCCTTTCCATTCTTAAGATGTAATATTTGTTTTCTGTTGTTAAGCGCTATGGCAACAGCTCTCATTTTCATCATTCTGAAACCTATGGATAATGATTATTACAATTTGATAGTCATTTTGAGTAGTAAAAAGGTTAAAAAGTAGTTTTTGTATATTCCTATGAATGATTTTTGTGGGTGCTTACAATATACAAAACGTATTTGTCTAAATGTGTCGGAGCTTTTTCTTAAATAGTTTTTGTATTTTTTTTTTTTTTTTAGATCAAAGATCTTCATTCGTTTCCCAAAGACCTTGTTTGCCACTGAAGAGGCGCTAGAGACCAGAAAACACAGTCTTGGTAAGAGCTTTATTTACAAACATGATGTAATAATGTTAACAAAATGAATATTGTACAAAAGATTTTATTATAATACTTTGTTTTTGTGCCTTTTTTAGCTACAAAGCTCCAGGCCGGATGGAGAGGCTACAGCCAGAAGTCCAAATACCAGAAACTCAGAAATGCAGGTAAGAAATCTGTCAGTGAATATATACGATACGATGGAATTCGAAATCTTAGATTACAACAGTCTTATGCTCTTATCATACTTAAAGGTTCTATATTACACAAAATTGACTCTTCTGATGTTTAAGTCATGTTTTAATGCTGTTAACCTGTCAGAAACAGACCTGGAGTTGTGTTTTGTTTCATTCCCACATGTTTGAGTAAGCCTTTATTATAAGTCTGTCTACATCTCCAAAGCTCAAAATGCTCTGTTCCATTTTGTGATGTCATGAAGTGGTAGTTTTCAAGTTAACAGGCTACCTTTTACCTTCTTTTCCATTGAAATTGGGGAAATTATCCAAATGATTCTAGTGAAGGTGTATGGAGCTTAAAAACACAGTGGAGCACTTCCTGTATGACCACATGACATCACCACCTTGGGGTTTCTGTTTGAGAGAAGAACTTGGCCTAAATCTGCAGGGTTTGTGTGTTTAAACGTGTGTGAATGAAATAAAACACAACTCCAGGTCTGTTTGTGATGAGGAAACAACATTATAACATAGATCAGAAAATAGTGTAATATAGGCTCTTTTAAGTGTTCAAAACATTATATTGTATTTTTTATGTACTTGAGAAGTGGGATCAGACTAAACCTTGGCTTTAAATCTACTCTTTGAAATATTCATGATTGTTTTGTTGCTGTTTGAGCCTTATAAATACATTGAAAATCTATAGTTCATGTATTATTCAAGAATGCTGATATTTTGTTGTGTTTTTAGCTATCGTGTTCCAGGCTTGTTGGAGAGGCATTCTGGCTCGGAGGAGGGCCCAGCGCAGGAGACAGGCATCTGACACCATTCGCAGGTAAGATTAATGTGCAAAAGATGTATTATTGTGCTATTTTTCTTCACTTTTAATGTATATTGTAAGCATTTATTAAAAGGGCCTATATTACAGTACATTCTGATCTATGTTATAATGTTGTTTCCTCATCACAAACAGACTTGGAGTTGTGTTTTGTTTCAATCACACATGTTTAACACACAAACCCTTCTTCTCCCAAACTGAGAACACTCTGTTCCACCTTGTGATGTCATGTTGTAATAAAGGAAATGCTCCACTGTGTTTTTAAAGTCCAGAAACAAAACACAACTCCTGGTATTTTTTTTTATTTTTTTTGATGAGTAGAGTCACAAAAGTAAATTTTGCATAATATAGGACCTTTAAATAATCTACTTTTTAGTTGAATTATTTTGTGATTTTGGTGAATAAAAACTTAATGTACTTTGGCAGTCAGTTAATTATATAATTGTTATTTAATCTCCAGGTTCATCAAAGGTTTCATCTACCGCCACAAGGAGCGCTGTCCTGAGAACGAGTACTTTCTGGATTATGTGCGCTACTCTTTCCTCATGAACCTCAGAAGAAACCTGCCCAAAAACGTTCTGGACAAGAGCTGGCCAACCCCACCCGCCGCACTCGTAGAGGTGGTTTATTCTTATCATATTTAGTCTTTTATTGTTGTTTTAGTATTCTTTTTTACTCTTTTTTTTGTTGTTGTTATAGCACTGCCCTATTTACAGTTTGTATCTATCATGAAAATGTCAAATTCTGAGTTTGTTTTGGACTGTGTATGAGTCAATTGATCATAACCATTAGTTTGATCAGTATATTTATATAATTGTGATTTAAATGTTTTAAAGGCACACTTTGTAACATTTCTGGTGGACCGTCTGACACCTGCTTGTCAAAATCTTGCTTTGCTTTGAAGGTCTCACTGTGTAGCAGTCATCTTTTCTATCTTACAATTATTAGATTAGAGGTATTTAATTGTTCAGAAATAACTTGAAAAACATATATTCTTACTTTCAGTGGGGTTGCCTCTCCACAGATCTGACCTGTAATTGGAGCTGCTTGTCTCTTTGGAGATAGAATTTTAATGCCAAATCATAGAACATTTTAGGCAAAGCAATGCCATCACCATTAAGACAAGCAGGTGGCAGATGCTTCACCAGAAATGTTACATAGTGCAACTTTAGAAACATAGACTGATTTAGTTTTTCTTTTTGTTGTTAGGCTTCAGAGCATTTGAGGAAGCTGTGTATGCAGAATATGGTGTGGAATTACTGCAAGAGAATCAGCCCTGAATGGAAACTCCAGGTAAGATCATAATAATAATTCAATGATGTATTCAAATAATTTCCCTTGTGGATCAATACAGTTTGTCTAAATCTATTAAATAAATAAATAATAATAAAGTACTTTTTGTATTGTAACTGTTGCTGTCTGTTCACAGCTGGAGCAGAAGATGGTCGCCAGTGAAATCTTCAAAGATAAAAAGGACAACTACCCACAGAGCGTGCCCAAACTGTTCGTCAGCACCAGACTCAGTAAGAGCACTTTCATACACTTTTAAAATCGATTTTATTTCCATTTTTTTATGATTTAGTATTAATATTATTTCCAAGTTGTATTTTATATTAGTTTAAAGGGCCCATATTGCACTAGTTTCTGATTTGTGTTCTAATGTTTCCTCATCACAAACAAATGTGAGTTGTGTTTTGTTTCATTCACATATTTAACACAAAAAGTGCTGTATTTTTAGACTGTGTTCTTCTCTCAAACACTCTGTTCTACCTTGTGATCTCTTGTGGTAATACAAGAAATACTCCACTGTGTTTTTAAACTCCATACACCTTCACTAAGATCATATGGATAATTTTTCCTAGAATTTCCACTCTCTTCTGAATTTAAAAAAAAAAAAAAAAAGGTTGATGATGTTGAAAACTACCACTTCAGACAGAGCATTTTGAGCTTTGTAGATGTAGACAGACTAACAATAAAGGATTACCCAAACATGTATGAACAAAACAAAACACAACTCCAGGTCTGTTTTGAGGAGGTAACAACATTATAACACGGCTTAAAGCTCACATGAGTCAATTTTGCGTAGTATAATAGCTTTAGGCATTTGCATTGTTCAGAGCTGTGTGGTCAGACTGGGCCTTGTGTCAATAAATCCTTTATTGCCTTTTTGTGATGGTTTTTATGGTTTTGTCCTTATCTGCCGTTTGTGTTACAGTTTGAGCCTTGGGGGGTTGTAAAGTAATTTTATTTGTGTCTAAACAAAGGAAGGCCTCCAGGGTTTAGGAAGAAACCTCAGCATTACGATGGTCAATATTAGACCAAGGAAGCTTTTTAGTTTCAGACATATGGTGTTAAAAAAATAGTATACATAACCTTTTTGAAATGAATTAGTTCTTTGAAAATAGTTAGGTCTTTATTTCGAGCTATGTCACATCAGAACAAACAGACAGTGGTATAGAGATTAATGCAATCTGCTCACAAATGCATACAAATGAAGATAGTTCTCGAAATGGAGTGGGAAGACTTATTTTTTACCACTCAGCAATACAATACACACACACACACACCAACATTTAACATTTATATACACACATTATCACAGGTAACAATTATTTTTAAATACCAACAATGAAATTTGTAATGTAATTTGAAAAACAAGATTTATTTATTTTTTGTCTCATATTGATTGATTTTAAATTGTCTATTCAATTAAATTTTTTCTCTTTAAAAGTTTATAAAAATATCTTGGTATTCATTTCCTGAACATTAACAAATACATATAATCAGGGACATTGAAAGAACAATCATCGACGATTAGACATGACGGAATTGCAATCTTGAATTTGATTATTTCACAGATTTTCTTTGTCAATGCATTTTAGAGAAACTTTTTATAACATACTGTAATAACTTTGTACATTTTGGACATTGTTACATGAATAATTTCTGTTACAGGTGGAGAGGAAATTAACGCCAAAGCGATTCAGAGTCTGGGCAGTGAGAAGATGAAGGTTCGTATACAGTAGTTTTGTTTTGTCAATGCTGTTTTAACGTTTGTTTTCATTTCTTCTTCTTCTTCTTCTGTTGACAGTACGCAGTGCCAGTCACCAAATACGACCGAAAAGGCTACAAGCCTCGACGCCGGCAGCTGCTGCTCACCAGCAACTGCGTCATTATTGTTGAGGAGGGCAAACTGAAGCAACGCATCGACTATGGAGCCTTAAAGGGTACAGTATATAGAGAAGTACTTACAGACAAAGGAATTAAGTATAAAAATAAAAAAAAGGCTGACAAAGTTTTTAGAGTGAATACGTTTCTCAGTTCTGATTTAGTGATGTCACTCATAGTGTTCAGCCAAATGTTCCAGTCAAATGAAGCTCACTGAGACTTGCAGTTATAGGAGCAAATTTGGAGCCAGTTGTATATTAGGAACAGGAATTTATTTCCGGACAAAATAGTGAAATAAAAACACCGCACTGCAAAAAAGCTTGGCCACAATTTAAGATATAACGCTTAAATCTATCAGAAAAGGACTTAAAAGTAGTAACATTATCCGTCCATGCAGCAAGATAATTTAACTTAAATAAATAAATCTGAAAACAAGATGAATAACCTGATATAAGATTTTAATTCTTGGCCAGGTCAGAGACATTTGCAGTGGAGGATCATGTAGAGCGGGTTAATACGAACATTTTAAGACCAAAATGACGAGGCTCACAGCAACAGTTACTGAGAGGAGAGAATTTTTCAGTGTAAAGTTAATTGGAGCCAGAGTCGATGGAGCCAGAAGCGCCCTCATGCTCACTTCCTAATTGGAAAGCGGCGACTAGTGGGTTAGGTATGTCCATTTATATATACAGTTTATGATCTGAAGTGAGGATTTAACTGCACTGAAACTAACACATTCTAGTTGTTTACAAAAGTATCTGTTATTAAGTTAAGTCCATTGAACTACCTTAAGGTGCAAACTGTTACCTGGTCATGTTTTGCGTAGTTATTCATAGCTCTAATGTATTCTTTCACACATATATTATCATACTCTGATTGATCCTATTGTTTTCCTTGTTTAGGAAGTAGTTTTCAGTATACTTTGTAGTAATCTTTGGTTACTTTGCAGGTATCTCAGTCAGCTCCCTCAGCGATGGACTCTTTGTTTTGCACGTGCCCAGTGATGACAACAAGCAGAAGGTAAATATATGTGTTTATTTAATCTTATTTACCTATTTTTATTTAAATAGAGCACACAACAGCAAAAAATTGTAATGCACCGTGTAGGATTCTATCTGCATAACGATTACAATATTATGGCTTTAAAGATGCATTGTGTAATTTTTCTGGTGAAGGGTCTGTCAGATACTTTTCTCCATGGAGTTGTTATTGCTTTGTCTGGAATACGGATGGGCATTCGATGAAATTTTCTTAATCGCTCGTCGGAAGAATTAACGATTGATTATCGATTAATCATTAACGTTTTTATATTAAAATGATCATCATTATTATTACTATCTGCACTACTAAGCTGCATAAATAAATTCAACTTTACGACATATAAACCGTAACGACTCTAGAGCCACATCAGCCTGTTTGACATTATAATGTGTTTAATTCAGTTTTGTGCAAGTCTCACAGAAACAAAACTTAAAACCGCATCGCTAATTTGCATAAACTCAGCAAAGATAAAACTACAGCTCTTGTGCGCTGATGCGGTCAATTTCTGTTGGATTAAAATACATGATTCAGTGGAATACAGGTTAGTGTGACCAGATTTGCGTTTGTCAAAACCAGGACACCGTACGGGGGGAGGGAGGTGGGGACTCGTCATCGATTGCGCGACTCTCACCTGGTAAAGCTTTTCTGGACACCGAAACATATGTGCTGCTTTGTACACTGTGCACATGGACTCCCACTTGTCCCGAACGTAACGGAAAGCGTGGAATTTCTTGTACAAGTCATCGTTAAATACGCATTTGTGCTTCGGTACGCTGCAGACTGACCGAATGTTTGTGTCTCGCTCCTTCTGAGTGCAGAGAGACACATGTACACACCTGTTTGGTCACGATACACACAACAACCTACATTCGGTTTGTCGATTAAAATTAACCTAATCGATGAAATTCTTAATGATCAATTATCGATTAATCGATTAATCATGCCCATCCCTAGTCTGGAATGTTTCACAGTATGATATTAAACCTTTTTATCTTCATGGAAACCAAACCAGACCAAGTTACAGGTCAGATCTATGGAAAAGCGACCCCGCTCACAGTCAGAATGCCTGTATTTCTTGGTATTTTTGAGCTATAAAAAACTCCTGTAATTGAATAAATGTAAAGTAGAGCTCTTTAATATCATACTGTGGAACATTCTAGGCAGAGCAACGACATATCCATAGAAACAAGCAGGTGACGGTCTCCCAACCAAAAAGTTACATAGTGCAACTTTAAGTATCTGCTGATCCACCGATACCAACTGATACTAAAAAACAGCATTTATTTCCTTTAAACTGAAACAACAAGAGAAAAAACTGATCCAAATTAGTGATGTAGCTGTTGTGTCACTGTAGAACAACTTTGTGTAAATAAAAGTCCAAACATAATGAGACTTTCTACCAACTATGACCAGTAAATAGTCTCATTACATACATGTATTTGTCAAACCACGATATCGACTGAACCGATATCCAATCCAGCTAATATTGTCTGTTACAAATTCAAACCTCCACATTAAAATAAATGTACTCGATATAATGTCTTATATCTTTTACAGGGAGACGTGATTCTGCAGTGTGAGCATGTGATCGAGACTTTGACCAAACTCGCCATTTGCGGAGAGAAAGTGAACAACATCAACATCAACCAGGGCAGGTGAGATGGAGTTAAAGTTGTATTATTATTGTCGCTTACAGGTACGTACAGATGGGGGGCAGCTAACTTAAATACTGATAAATTGTAGGTTTTTGTTGTAGCATAGAAAGTCAATGGGTCTAGTCACCGATAGAAAATATTACATTAAAGATTTGTGAATACACTTTTTGGCTATTTCATGATTGTGTCTTGTCCCTCATCTGGGATTCTGGCATCATCACATTCTAGAATCTGAAAAACACCAATTTGGGATCTATTTAGAATAAAATAATTCCCATCATATTCAGAATTAACTGTTAAATATAAAATACAAAATGACCAACCGTGGTTCCTTGTGTAATTCCAGTATAAAGTTCACTGCGGGTCAGGGTAAAGAGGGAATCATAGACTTCACTCCTGGGTCTGAGCTTCTGGTGGCCAAGGCCAAGAACGGGCACCTGTCTGTGGTGAGTATCTCATTTTATTTTTACATATTTTTATGGTTTTGCTTTGGTTGGGGGTTTGTCAGCTGCTTGTTTCTATGGAGATGTCATTGCTCTGCCTGGAACGTTGCACAGTATGACATTAAACAGCTCTACCTTACATTTATTCAATTACAGGTGGTTTTATTACTTACCTGTATCTTCATCTGGTTTGATCACCATGACGATAGAAAGGTTTAATGCCATGCTGTGAATTATTACAGACAAAGCAATAACATCTCCATGTAGGAAAACAGGTGGCGAAACTTTCACCAGAAAAGTTACAACATTTTTAGCTCGAATTGAAACTTTTTAGCCAGTAATAATACAATAATTCTCTTCAATAATTCAATTTTGTTACATTTAAATGCCAGTTTGAATGTGTTATAATAGGAAATTGTGCTTTCAAAGTGTAAACTACAGATTTTCGATTGTACCAATAAATAAAATCAAAACATTTACATCATTTACATTAAATAACCTAAATATGACATAATAACATGCAAAAATAAGATTAAAATTGCACAAATAAGTCTAAAATACTAGTTATTAATGGGTATCATGGGCTGGGTATCATTAAGAAGTTGCCGATACGATACATACCTTGATACATAGGCCACGATATGATCTCGATACAGTGCACTTTCGATTCGATATGATGTATTTCAAATCGATTTGATACAGTACGATAAAAAATAACTGCTAAATGATGGCTGTGATCCTAAAAGTTTTTGTTAAACCACTTTTTGTGCAAAGTTTATATGAAACAGAAACATTTGAATCATCAAAACAGTGAAAATGTCAAATGTGTCGCATAAACAAGTTTCCTTCCACTAAACAAGCAACAAAACTGTAGTGCTGTTAAAAAAAAAAAAAGTTAAATATACCGTATTTTCCGCACAATAGGGCGCGCTCAAAAGCCTCCAACCGCATCATGACTGAGTGTCCCACAATCCAGAGCGTCCTATACACGAATCCACTCGGGTGTCCCAGCACGACTTCAGTAAACTACAAAGCTGCACCACTCGCAGAACACGCAAACACACACGGAGCAGACAGCGACCGCGCAGCAAAAAACACCCACAGACACACTCATCACTCCACGCCGACGAGGAACGGAACGGAGGAACGAACCGAAAAAGCGAGTCCAATGTGCCACTTCTAGACACAACTGAACAACTGAGTCACTGCGAACACGCCGACAATCCAGCGATCCCAGACAGCACCCTCCCTACACGCCACAACTGACCAGAGTCACCGTGAACGCCACAAACAAGTTTAAAGTCCGGTGGGGTTTATATGTGAAAAAAGTTTGAAAATAGACCATTCTATGACCTTTTATATGCCTTTTATAACCCAGAGCGCCTAATAGTGCGGAAAATACGGTACTAAAAAATCCTCTCTGCAATATATCGATACAGCAGCCCACGATCTTGATACTGTTTCATCACATTAAACAATACGATATATTGATATTTTGATATTTTTTGCACACCCCTAGTTATTAACATCTCAGTGTTTTATTTACAGACTGCTCCCCGACTGAACTCCAGATGATGTGGACCACAGCGCTCCGTCCGGGACTAACCTCCTCCCTCGTCCAATCGGGACTGCGGACTGCTCTGCCTTAGCCAATCAGAAACCAGCTGTCCTCTCAATATCACAGCACACGCTTCCAATACGAAAACTCCAGCGAGACTAATTGAAATATTTATGTTTCTATATTATATTTTTGAGATTAATAATGTTTTGAATATACTGATTTTATACGCAAAGCCAAGGAATAACAAAAGTGTGGGTGCGTTGCACCTTTTTGATTTGTGCGCTTTTGGGGTAATATTTGGTTAAAGGTACACCGTGTAACTTTCCTGGTGGAGGGTCCGGCAAGTGCTTGTTTCCATGGAGATGCCTTGGCGTTGTAGCGTCATTTGCCATTTGTTTCTTTGGCAGTGGATACGTTTAATACAGCGCTGTAAAAAATTCCAGGCAAAACAAAGTGACAGGTCAGATCTGTGGAGAGAATGAGTGTTTTTAAGGTATTTTTGAGCACTAAAAATACCTCTAAATGTAAGATATGTTTTATTACATACTGTAGAATGTTCCAGGCAAAGCAGTAACATTTCCATGGAGACCCTTTACCTGAAAAGTTACACCGTGCACCTTTCAGACAGGACCAAAAACCATTCGATTTCACCCTAATTTGAAACAACGCATTTAAAAGTTGTTGATGACGATTGGGACTGCCTTTTTGTTCCTGTTTACGATTATAATCACCACTGTACTATGGGTTAAGCATGTCGAAGCATCGAGATAGGTAGGTTTTATCACTGAATGTATTGAAAGAAGGGGAAAAAGGCAAGCGATGAACATGTTTTTTAAAAAGAAATGCACAGAAAGTGAAGAGAGGATACAGGTTGAGGGTAGAATAATAAGTAGGAAAGATGGTACAGCAGTGATTTGAAAGAAAACTAATTTATTCTTAACAATGTCCAGTGAGCTGGCAAATGAACATTACGAACAAAATAAGCAGGCTATCTTTGTTAACCTAATTGTTGCGTGCTTGCTTAAACTTTGGCACAGTGCAATAGGCCTATGTTATGGTCTAAAGTTGACCCAGAGTGGTGATAAGGCGAAACTACTTGCAATACTTTCCCTGATTTACTTCAACATCATAAATCAACTCATGCTTGTATCTTTTGTTTTTAAATGGTCTGTATGACGCTATTTTCTGATCTGTTGTAATGTTTTTTCCTCATCACAGACAGACATGGAGTTGTGTTTTGTTTCATTTACACAAATCAAGTTCTTCTCTCAAACAGAAAACATTCACGCAAGACAGTAAGTGCTCCACTGTATTTTTAAACTCCATATAACTTCACTAGATTCATTTGGATCATTTCAGCTCTGGAGTTGTCAATCTCTACTGAACGAAAGGTAAACAAAAACTTAACAACTTCGACTTTATGACATCACAAGTTGGAACAAAGCATTCTGAACTTTGGAGACACTGACAGACTACTAATAAAGGGTTACTCAAACGTGTGAATGGAACAAAACACAACTCCAGGTATGTTTTTGACGAAGTAACAGCATTATAACATGACTTAAAGCTCACAAGAGTCACATTTTGTGCAATATAGGACCTTTCACTTGTAAAGCCAAAACATAACTTATGCCTGAATAACGCCATGAAAATGCCATAAAAAAAAATATAGCTAGCCAAATATGTGCTCTAAGCAGGAAAAATAATCTTATAATTCACTTTCCATTTCAAATCATTGTACATGTCGAGGGCTGCAAGGCGAACTGACCACTATCTCGGATGTAGTCCACCTAAGGCCCATAGTTTTATTTCTATTTCTATATCTTCTATTATATTGGTTCATCATGCCTTTTATGGTCTAAACAACAAATGAGCAATCAAATAATCTTATTGTTTAGCACATTTTTTACATTTCAAATTTATCTTTCAAATGCTCAGGTTTAGAACTGATCTTACATTTATAAAACTAAACAAAAAACAAAAAAAAAACCCTCACAACTTTCATTTTTACGCCAAATATTGTAACATAATTCTTTAAAAGTGCATAGTGTAACTTTTGTCATGGAGGGTCAGCTACCAGCTTGTCACCATGGAGATGTTATTGCTTTGCTTGGTATGTCCCACAGTATGACTTTAAGCATATCTATTCCCATGGTAACGCCACCCACCAGGCCAAGTTACAGGTCAGATCTGTGGAGATGTCACCCTGCTTTCAGTTTTTGTTGAACTTGAGAGTAATAAAAACATCTGTAGTTGTATTGAACGTAAGATTTAAGTTGAATGTCATACTATGGAACATTCAAGGCAAAGCAATACCATCTCCTTGGAGACAAGCAAGTGGTAAAAGCTCCACTGCAAAAGTTCCACAGCACACCTTTAACTCCTGTCTGCTTTTTGCTCTAAGTGAGAAGACGGTGCAATAAATTGAAAACCGTGCTTGTTCTGCACTTACACGTTTTTTTAGCCAAAGAAGCAACGTTGATTCTTTGTGATTCTGTAAAATTTGTGCTATTTTTTGAGTTGAATGTCGTTTTTTTTTTTTTTTTTCAGGAGGGATTTGTAAATGTATAGTTATAAATGAGAGACTCAAGCCAAGTAAGGTTTGGGTATGTTAAAATTTTGGGGTGGAAAAAAAGTTTAAGTATTGTTTAATGTTAACCTTTTTATTCTGTGCCTTTTTGAATTGCAATGTTTGTAAGGGATCATAAGAGAAATACCTCCTTCCTTTGTAAATAAGCTTTAACCAAATCATAATAACATATTTCAAGCACTCTTCTGTCATTACTGTATCGTTATGCAGACACACTAAGAAATACTAAAGATCTGAACAATAAATCTGAGACTATAAGACTCATACTCGTGCTTGTTTCGTGTCATTTATGGCTTTGTAATACAGAAATTAAAGCTGCACTAAGTGATTTTTTTAGCAGAATGTTCACAGCCTGCCCGTTTCCATGGAGATGTGAGCACAGTATGGACAAAGGAGTCAGATGTGTGCAGAAGTGAGCCCATCCAGTGCATGTTCAAGGTATCTTTTTTCCAGCAATAAAAAGATAAGATGCAGTACATTCAACACTCTGCCGCTCGCCTCCTCCCCCACACCCGCTCCAGAGACCACATCACCCCTGTCCTTAGGCAACTCCACTGGCTCCCTGTACAATACCGCACCCAATACAAGGTTCTCCTCATCACCTACAAGTCCATCAGTAACCTGGCCCCTCCCCATCTCACCGACCTCCTCCGTCTGCCCCGTCCCACCCGCCGCCTCAGATCAGCCGACACCAACCTCCTCACTCCCCTCATCAGGACAAAGCACCGGACCTTGGGGGACCGAGCCTTCGCCGCCCCCTCCCTCTGGAACTCACTCCCACAATCCATCAGGAACTCGGACTCACTGCAGCACTTCAAATCACGACAAAAACTCACCTGTTTAAACTGGCATTCCCCCCATGATTCCCCCATTTTCTACAGTGTTTCATTTGGTTGTAAAGCATCTTTGAGTGTCCAAGAAAGCACTATATACCTACGATGTATTATTATTATTATTATTATTATTATTATTATTATTATTATTGTTAAAGATATGTTTAATTCAATACTGTGGAACATTCCAGGCAAATCAATGACCTCTCCATGTGGACAAGAGATAGCCTTCCACCAGAAAATAGTTAAAATGCTATAAACAAGGAAACTTATATTATATCGGCCTCATGAAGCAGCTATTATCAGACTGAAAGTGTGTTTGTGAAGTATGGATAAAGAAGCATTACAAGGCCAATTATTTCAAATTGTTTAGTTTTGCTGAGTGTATCTTCAAATGGAGCTCAACAATGACCACAGCCTGATTCTGGAACTAAATTTCCATTTCATTTTTCCCATAGGCTTTCCCCAAAAAATTCTATTAAAAGTTTGAAAGCTCTGGTCTAATCATCTTTATTTTGACTAATGACCACAAGAGCTCCAACTTTATTTAAAATCTGATTCTGAAAATTTATAAACCACAAAGTTATCTATAAAAAGAATCTTGCATTTTAAACAGCCTTTTTGGACTTAAAACAAGCACTGATGGATATTAGTTATTACGCAGATGCTTTGAAAAGTGAATGAGAACTGGAAATAAATGAATGGAAAATGTACTTCCAGAATTGGAGCAGGCTGTTACTGTTAAAGTTCATTTATAGACTAGACTGGGGCTTACTGGCAATCTGTACATTCGACTGTGGGGGCCATCTCCCCAGTCCTCAATTTTTGGTGAGGATTTGTAGAGGAAAAGTCCAGGGCTGTTTTCTGGGTCCCAGTCTGCCCCTGAGACTAGACCAGAGGTGGGCAATAATTTTTTTTCCATGCGGCCAAATGAGATACAGAAAATATTGTGGTACTTAACTCAATTCTGCATAATATTAACTGTATTTCTTCATAAAAAGCAGTAAATGTCGTTCTTTTGATGAGCTGGTAAGGCTGGTAAGAGTTTATGTTATGACTAAGCAATGAAAATGTAGGTTGCCTTTAAAGAAACACTTTTACAATAAAAGCAATGCAGCTTTAGTCCATGCATGAGGGAAAATTATAAAATATGTTTATTTTGTAATTCCAATTGAGCTTAAAGGGGCTATTTGTGACCTGGGAGCTGGACAATGCCCAAGTCTGGACTGGACCAACAAGCAAAGTTTACCTTAGTATATGTTTGGGCCATCAGACGTTTCTTTTTTTTAGTGTTTTTACTTCTTGGGTTGTAATGTACTAAACTAATAAATAACGAGCTGTTTATTTCCTTCTTAACCATCGAGCAGACAATTTCTCAGCACCTCTATCAACTATCCTGCCATCTCACTTTTTGCCAGTAGATGTCGCACTAAACGTGGGAGTTGAAATCTTGCTCTGAAGTTTTTTTTTTTTCTGCTGACTGATGTTTTGAGTCTGTCCGTGTACAAGCCATGTGCAGCTCCCTCTCTCCTCTCCTCCACTCCGGACTTCTGAGAAATACAAGTTTACCACGAAGGAGAAGTAAACAACCTGACACCACTACACCTAAGTTTCAAAGGTTGTTATAACACAATTAATCAGTCAAGTCAGTCAAGTCTGCAAACGCAAAATATGCTTCATTATGTGCAACTTTACAACTAATATTCTAAGTTATAAAGCGTATTTTGGATATGATATTAACGTGCGTAATTTGGCGAGGTTTTTGCAATTTGAAACAGACGACGCGAGGATTTCAGTGGTATTTTAGTAGCCCCATTTTACACCCGTGGGACCAGTTTTATGTTATGTTTTTGTAGATATCATTAAAACAAGAAACTGTAAGCCTCAATAATAAATAATCACCATTACGCACGTTTTTGGAGTGCAAGAAAACCACTGTAATAGTCAGTAGTAGTAATTAACAAACTAGGCTTTAGGTCTTTGTCTAGGTGTGCTTTTTCCGGTTGCTCCGATGAAACCTTTAAATCTTTCGTGTTTTTGCAAATTGTTTTCCAGTTTATTGAAAGGAAAGTCTGATCGATCATCCTGACTGTATGGTGTAACTTGTTTTGCGTTTAGTTCGCGCGTTGAGCGAAGAATTTTGGCAAAACAAATGGTCCAACTTAGGGAAACAAAAGTCATTAATATCCGTGTGTTCTGTTTGGCTGACGCTCGTCTCTAGCTCAGCCCTCGACCAACCAGAGCGCGGGGTTGTTTGTGAACGGCTCTGCGCTGGTATAAAAAGGCGAGCGATGAGAATGAGAGAAATTTTGATAGAAACCAGACCAAAGAAGCTGTTTACATGCAAAATACTTCTCCTTCTTTGTCTTTCTGTTACTGAGGGTAGGGGACATCCGCAGAGGGAGTCGTGACAGCGGACACAGCTCTTCTTGTCCCCCCGGATCCGGAGTCAGGTAAGCGGTCTGCAAAAAGGATGCTGTACCCTGCGCTGCTGTTTTGACAAAATTCACTTGATAAACGATAAAATGTTCAATGACATCTACACTTTAACGCACTCTTGGATTCAAAATAAGCTTCTAAGACTACAACTGATTTGTAAGATTCTAATTCCTGTATTTTATCCCCAAAATTACGCGCAAGGGAACACCAACATCGCTTTATCGTCAAATTAACTTTAAGTATACCATTTCTTTTGTTTGATTTTTGTTTGTTTTTGCTATTTTTGCTATTGTGGTTGAGTAACATTTTTGCAGAAGCCGGTTCCAGCCTGTTTTCAGATCATATCTATTACAAACTTGCAGATTTATTTCCCGTTTCCTTGTCTGCTGTTGTGATCGGACATTCAAACACTGCGCCGAAGTTTTTTATCACAATCTCCCCTGTTATCTCAAAAAATGTGGTTTAAAATACTAAAATGACGTTGGTGTCTCGGTTGTCTCGGGTTTTTTCATTCTTTTTCTGTCAGTAGCAGCAGCAGCGCGTTAGTTTGTTATTCTGCTCCCGCTGTTGTTGATACTGAACAGCTGAGCGCCTCTGGAGCGACAACAGCGTCAAGTTTCAACGGCAATAAACAGCGAGAACAGGAAGCGCCACCGCATTTTCACAATAAAGGCCGTTTACGCCAAACCTTGAGCTTTTTAGTTTTTATTATGCAAAAACAGCTGTATACCCTATATACCCTATACTGGTATAACCGTATGTCCTGTCAATAATCTTATCAATGTTGCACTGTCTTCCTATGACCTTTGTATAAGCCATATTTTATTAACTAGGGATGTAACAATAATCAAAATGGTATCGTATATCGTCAGAGTTCTCACAATAATATCGTGGACCATCACAATATATCGAATTACAAGTCTCTTTGCTTAAATGAAGAGTTATGATGCAGCAACAGACAGTGACCATGATCCTTTGCTCCATTTCAGTGCAGACTACAAGAAGAAATAACAGTTCTAAGCACTTTTAAGTCTTAGTTCTTTGGATTAAGTCTTGTCAAGGCATTTTAAGAGGAAAAAGTAGCATATTCACAGTTTTGTTAGTCTCCACAAAATAAATATCTCAATAAACGTACCGTGATATGTTTATCATGAAAATATTTGGATATTGTTACATCCCTAATCGTGAGCCTCCCCACTATATCATGAGATTTCCCACGATTTCGCAATAAATATCATACCGTGAGATTCATACCGTGACGATATCGCATTGTGACACTTGGATATCGTTACACCCCTATTTATTACTTACTTTTCTATTTTATTTTGCCTTCTACATTTACATTTATATACTTATGTCTTATTTGACAGCTGTCTCTTGCCACCTTTTTTGCTTATTTAGAATTTATTATTACCATTAATATTCTTTTTTTTATATTATTGCGATGTGTGAGTCACTGTGTCCAAATCATTTCCTGAGTCTAAGTCTACGTCTATGCAAGTTTAAGTTTTAGGCTACACCAAAAATGCAAAACGTAAGCTGGTTGAGTTTTTAGAGTTCTACAGTATACATTTTGTTATATTAATGTATTGATACAATTGGAAGTAAGCTATATGAATTTTTATTGAATTTGCCTCCATATGCTTATAAAAAAACAACAAGTAACCTATTTAAGATTTCATTAGGCAAAAGAAAAATGAATCTCAGGTGGAACATAGCCTAAAAAAAAACTTGCAAAGATTTCTATTCAAATTTCCTGAATATGTAGTTCATATTTAGTCTTATAGTTTTTCATTTCTGACTTGAGGTGAATTAGAGAACCTTTTATTTTCATGGTAACTACTGCACAGCTCATTGAAAACTGTTGTAAGAAGTAAAGTGATTTGGAAAAACTTTGCATCTTTGTATCTGACCCTTACAATGTTGTTAAGTCTTTTATTTTGAAAGCGTCTCCCCGGATGTGCGTGTTGGAACCTGTGTGCTGCTGGATGCTGGAGGGGGTGGGCTGTAGTCAGATGCAGATAAGTGGATGGAGGGAGGAGGAGGAGGAGGAGGAGGAGGGAGGGGTGTGCGGATGATTCTAGTCCAGTTCAGACCAGTTTTAGCTTCGCTCCTCATTCACCCTCTTTGTTCTGGATATGCTTTTAAAACTCATCAGGACACTGGATTATAAAGTCTGCAGTCCCCTCCTCCATCCTTTGAACTGACAATAAAATATGAGCGCTTCAGCTTGCAAAACAGACGGAGCATTCAGTGTGGGATAGCCAGGCCTACATCACAATACAGTACACAAGTTTGAGCAGGTTTTGAAGCTTGTTATTGCTTCCCGAAAACGCATTGTCGAATATTAATAAAAACAAAACACAATACAGAACATGCCGTGGGATTTGTCATTCAAACTTCCCATTTTAGTGTAACAGTTAAAAAAGAAAAGAAGAAAAGATACCAGACTAGAGTGGTACCTGAATCTCACGCCACACTGGTTAAAACTGGCTTAAGATATTGACGTTGCCTTCGTGTACTTTGATATACTGTGGTAAATTTGGTTATTCTGTCAGCTCATAGGAAAATAGAAAGATGCAAATCATACAGTAATTTGATAACAGTTCAGATATTCGTTGGTTTAAGCTTCCTGTTAATACTTTAGATACAGATTTAGTTTTGCTTAGTGGTTTATTTTTATCACTTTGAAACCCACAAACCTTCTCTCTTTTTTTCTACCTCTTAAACCTTGTATAGGTTTATTAATTATGATATAAGCATGCATTTTAATAGAATAAAGTAGAAGCATTTTCACTTTATATATACTAGTATATTCAAAGTGATATGCAAACATGAAAACGAAACATTATAATCAGTATAAGAGTGTTTCCCATGACAAAATTAGGTTTTGTTGCTCATAAAAGAGACTAAACTGGTCAAAAATGCCTGACTAAAGAGCAAAAATGACAAAAAAGCGACATTTATTATACTGTACAAACAGAAGGAGGTTAAATGATCAAAGACAAATAATCAAATCTCTGGGAAACACTGGGTATAGTTTGATATTTTTGTCTCTTTTTTGTGCGTTCAAAGCTCATATATTAGTCACATAGTGTGTAATGAACGTGACTGGGGCGTAGTGTCCTCCAGAACATCTCATGCCTCTGACAGGTTGTGATATAGAACACAGCACAGCATTTCCCCTATGGGCCATAAATGAACTGAAACTCACGTGTAGCTGCTGTATCTACTATGTCACTAACGGCCAATGGGAGCGAAGCAGGGATTCCCCTCGGCCAATCAGTGGAGGGCGGAGGCGGGGTGCGGAGATGAGGGGGCGGGACTGGCGCTCCTCAGCTGTTTTCTGTTTTCCTGAGCCCTCGTCATTAGCACAAAAGAACAAAGAAACCTAAATGATCTGAAATGAAACTGTTGTCAGAAATGCATATAATGTATGAATGAGCTTACATTTGATTAGTCTGAATGAATGAAGTACTTTAACCTAGTGTTCTCTTGTAAAACTGGCTTCACAAATATTTGCAGTACTTATAACTGCATTAAGACTGTGGTATAAGGATCACTGACGATGCTTGATTAAATTATCTGATTAAGTTCATTGTAAAGGGATCTTTGGACTTGATGTAGCCTTGGTTCAGACCAGATAAAATCCTGGTTTAGATCTTGTTTCTTCTTGATAACAGTTCTTATTTGGGCTCATTTTAATAAACATGACCCAGTATTTCTAGGTAATTATTGAAAAGCTAATCATTACTAATCAAGATTTCACTATATTATACAGTTTATACAGTTGTCATACCCAAATTCCAAAATCTATTTCGATACCAAGGAAAGTCATGATTCTCAATACTGATTTTGGTACCATAATGTTGATAAAAACAAATTTTTTAGACATTATAATTAGGGCCTGGCCGATATTATCAGTTGGCCGATATTATTGGCTGGAATGTGGACTTGGAGACATATCAGTTATTGGCCTAAATTTTGCCGATCTGGTCCAGTAGTCCGTGTGATCATGTTATACCTCATTATGAAATGTAGACTCTCTGTACTGAGTCCATTTAATCCAATTTACAGACAGATAAATGTCCTAATATGTGGCGCGGCATCAGTATTTATCAAAGGAGTAATTTGTCTGTGAGTCACGTCACTCACGTGTGCTTGTTTACACCCTGGTTTACACCCGTGCGCAGCCATAAATCCATGTGCGCAACACTGAGGCGCAGCTTTAAATGCTCTTGTAGTCCAGGATGCTCCTTGATTCACAATACTGAATGTAAATAAAAGTGAACTTCAGCGCACATTAGGCCATCAACAATCAAAGTGTTATCAAAATCAAATCTTAGTTTAATAATCACTTGGGAATTTACAATGAATTTTACATCTCTAAATATATATATCGACTAGCGACACCTCCAAATCCCCTTTTATCAGAATCATATCGGCTCCAAAAAATCCACAGGCCCTAATTATAATGCAATTTTTCTGATCACAAAATAATAGCTGTTTCTTTATGCTGTATTATCTTGTATTAGTCATGACATACAGTAGATAAAACTATTCAAGAAGAGTCCAGTTTTGAGTGTCCAGTTTCAGTTCTGGCTTTAATATTGATTAGAGTGTGTGTATAGATTTCTTCTTCAACCTTATACTGTTCAAATTACCATATATACTGCGCAGTATAGTATCTCTCTTATACCTGCTGCTACTGGCATTTGAAATCAGTCATTTGAACTTGTATTCTACCTGTTCTTTTATTTTTTATTGTGTAGTGTGTAGTTATGTGTGTTTAAGATACTATTAATGCAAACCAATTTAATGTAGACCTTTTGAACTTTTATAAATTTAAAGGTGCTCTTACTGTAAGCATGGTAACAGCTCCATAGATCTGACCTGTAACTTGCGCCTTAAAACACTAACTTATTTTTTTTGTCTTGTTTAGGCTCCAGCAGACTCCTCCAGCCCTCCTCCATTTCTCCAGGCCCACACAGCTCTACCTCTCCCCGGGCATCATGGCTCCGACCCTGGCTACGGCCTTCTCGCGCCGCTGGTGGATGGCCATCACGGCGGTCATCGAGAACCTGCTCTTCTCTGCTGTGCTTCTGGGATGGGGCTCTCTGCTCATCATGCTGAAGTCCGAGGGCTTCTACTCCTACCTCTGCAAGGGGCCAGGTCAGTGCACTACAGTCTAGGAGAGATATGGATTAGAGATACTGACTGGTTTTTTCATGGCTGATGCCGATACTGAACGTTTAGAAGCCAGAAGAAGTGATGGCCGATAAACCCCAATATTTTTGGGCTGATATATATGGCAGATTTTGATTTGCTTTGTGTGTACTCTTTAGGCAGTAGGTCAAACCAAAAACTAAATATCGGCCTGTAAGCTCTAAAATTAAGGTCGATATCCGAAAAAATACAACTATCAGTCCAATGAGGTTCTTTTGGTCTTCCGATAATTTATGTTATTAGGTTCTTTTTTCAGACCAGACCAGAGTTTGTTTTCATACCTGACAGTTTGGATTGTCACTAGCGCTCTTCCTCAGAGTGGTCACGTAATGTTGCTGTGACGTGTTGCTCAGCTGATTTATACAGGTTTTGGCGCTGTCTTCCTACTGGTGGAGGCAGGACGACAGCGCCATCTGCAGTCCGACTTCCTCATGACAGTATTCCAGGTGTGTGAGAGTGAAAAAGCAGCCTCGTCCCGGTTTATAGTCCCATGGGCATGTTTCTGTATTTCGATTGCCTTGCCTCTTTAATTTAAAGTGTTTGTTGTCCTATGTCCCAATGATGTTTTCTCTGTCCTAGTGAGCAGTCGAAACTGTCAGGTATGAAAAAGTCTTGGTCTGAATAAAGAACCTAATAACATGAGCACAAATATCGTTAAGCATTATCAGCCAACTGATACATCAATCTGTCTCTAATGTGGATATAGGAAACAATATGGCAAAATTACAGAGAAAATGTTTTAGATTTAGAAATAGACTTCTGACTTTTAAATTTTAATGACCAGGGGAATTACTGGGACATATAGCTCAATACATATACCATAAAACAATATGCATATAAGAATAATTCTGCATTACCTGCCTATTCATTGGTTTCAGCTTCTTAAAGGTGACATTTTGAGAACTTTTCACAATTCTAAAGAGATATTACGTTGCTTTCAGTTGTCAGCCAAGACATAACGCAGTTATCAACCAGTGGAGCTTTGGGGTTTGGAAAAATAAATGGAAGAATTAACATTATGAAACAAAATGATACAAGCTTGAAATGTGCGCTTATTTTCTTGTGAAGTAAACACAGAGTTTTACAAGATCATATTGACCTCAAAGCAACTCAAAGCCAAAGAGCAGTAGTAGTAGGAGGAGAAGTTTTCATCATTAACAGAAGTAACAGATGAAAGGACAAGCTCAGACTTGGTTGTTTTAGGCATATAAAGTTGGTCTCCGAGTAGTTCAATATGGAACAGAAAAGTCTTCTCATGTAAATAGTACTATTGATATCCCATCTCATATTTTTTCATAATATATAATACAGGTACTGACGATGTAATTAGTAGTGTTACATATTTTAACACATGGACAAGTGCACATGATCCCTGTCTTTGTAATCCTCATAAAAAGCAATGACCTGTTGTGATTTTAGCATACGCAGCATTATCCCTGTGTTCTTCTTGAACAGCTGGGGTTTCACCGTTCAATATCAGAGAATACAGAACGTCTCAGATCAAACGGACACTGCACCTGTCCTCATCTGCCCCTGATCAAAGCCCAGACACAACGCACTTAACCACCAATGGAGCTTTGGGCTTTGGAGAAATAAATAGAAGAATTAACGTTATGAAACAAAATGATAAAAGCTCGAGATGGGCACTTGTTTTGTTCTGAAGTAAACAGCGATTTCAGAGATCAGAATTCGAAGATCAGAGTGACCTTAAAGCAACTCAAAGCCACAGAGAAGTAGTAGTAGCAGTATTAGTAGTTGTAGTAGTAGTAGAAGTAGTAGTGGTAGTAGTGGTAGTAGTAGTGGTAGTAGCAGTGGTAGTAGCAGTAGTAGGCCTAATAGTATTTGTAATAGTGGTACTAGCAGTACTAATAGTAGTAGTGGTAGTGTTAATAGGAGTAGGCCTAGTGGTAGTAGTAGTTGTAGTAGTCTTATTGGTAATGGCAGTAGTAGTAGGCATAGTAGTAATGGTAATAATGGAAGTAGTATTGGTAGTGGTAGTAGAAGTAGTAGTAGTAGTAGTAGTAGTAGTAGTATTAGTAGTAGTAGTGGTGGTGGCAGCGGTAGTAGATGATGTAGTAGTAGTTGTAGTTGTGTAGTTGTGTTACTAGCAGTAGTAATAGTAGCAGTGCTGTAGTAGTTGTTGTAGTGATAGTGGGAGTGGTAGTAGAAGTAGACCTAATAGTAGTAGTAGTAGTAGTAGTACTAATAGTAGTAGTAGTAATGGCAGTAGTAGTTGTAGTGGTAGTGCTGGTAGTGGCAGTAGTAGTAGACCTTATAGTAATAGCAGTAATTGTACTAGTAGTGGTAGTAGTAGCAGTAGTGGTGGCAGTGGCAGTAGTAGTAAACCTAATATGTCTAGGTAGTAATGATAGTAGTAGTGGTAGTAGTGGTAGTAGTGGTAGTAGTAGTAGGCCTAATAATAGTAGTAGTGGTATTTGTATTTGAAACAATACAGTTAGTCAACAGATTTGTTAAAATGATAAAAAATCCCTGGTCTTGTCCTTCTTTTTAATATATCGTCATAGCAACAAGCAGCATCTAGAAAGTTGTGTCTGTTTTCTCGAGTGGTGTGGAAATCAGCCTGTTCAATAAAGATGGACCCAGCGCACAGTAATTATGTTAGCACTGTTGCACAAGGAAGCAGCGATGAAAGCTACAGCATCATTTAGCTTACAAAACTGCCCACACATTAGTCATCAGTTATTCATCTATGAACAGTACATTATATAAGAATAACATTTTGATATCAAATCTGTTTTAGCATTTTGTGTTGTATTTTGTATTTTTTTTCCTATATTCATTTGTCTGGCAGCATCTTTCTGACCTCAAAGCAACTCAAAGCCACAGAGGAGTAGTAGTAGTAGTATGAGTAGTAGTAGTAGCAGTGGTAGTAATGGTAGTCCAGTAGTCCAGCAGTAAGCCTTGTAGTAATTGTAGTAGTGGCACTAGCAATAGTAATAGTAGTAGTGATAATGTTGTAGTAGGAGTAGGCCTAGTGGTAGTAGTAGTTGTGGTAATGGTACTAGCAGAAGTAATAGTAGTGGTAGTAGTGGTAGTGGCTGTAGGAGTAGGCCTAGTAGTAGTAGTAGTAGTGGCACTAGCAGAAGTAATAGTAGTAGTAGTAGTGGTAACGGTAGTAAGAGTCGGCCTAGTTGTAGTAGCAGTGGTAGTAGTTGTAGTAGTGGTACTGGTAGTGGCAGTAGTAGTATAGTAATAGGCCTAGTAGTAATAGTGGTAGTGGCAGTAGTAATGGTAGTGATAGTAGTAGTAGTAGTAGTAGTAGTAGTACTAGTGATAATGGTAGTGAGAGTAGGCCGAGTGGTAGTAGTAGTAGTGGTACTGATAGTGGTAGTAGTAAAAAGTAAAAGTAGAAAAATAAACAGGACAAACATTGGAATTTTTCAGAATTGTCTTGATCTGTTGCAAACCACATGACAAAATGAAATAAACAGTTTTCACGACCATTGGAGAATCAAAATTGGTATCGAAATTGCGTTCCCTGGAGCAGAGCCCCTCCACCAGAAACATTCCACAATGCACCTTTAAACTCGTCAGTGGCCGTTATAGTTTCCATTGAAGGGTACTCAAGATAAGATGAGTGGCTCTGTGTTGTCAGCCAAAGTCCAGCTGCTAACAGTATCCAGAATGATGAATCTAGTAGTAGTAGTTTATTTGATCAAAATAAAACAAAACAAACATAGACTACAACCACATGGATCATGACTGGAATGTTTAAGCTGAAGTAAAAAGTACTTATAATGCCAAACCCTATTAAACAATTCCAAGAAAGAGTGTATGAAGAGCAACTTTTCATTTACAATTTCACTTACGACTTACAATACTTACGAGATATAAGAGACAAATATAAATTAAAACAAACAAAATTTAATGCATAATTCATTCATTCCAAAGCTCTATAACTTTCAAAATATAACGCTTTATACTCTTTTTTTAAAGGCTTCTACAGCATTAGACTTTTAAAAAAAAAAATCATTACTCAGATTGTCCCATATACTAACCCCTCTAACAGAAATACAATCACTTTTTTTTCTTAGTATTTATCTTCAAATTTTAAAGATGCCAGTTGTTTTTTTGTTTGTTTGTTTTTTCCTCCCAGTTTATGGTCGTACAAACTAAAAATAATGTTAACTAAGGCACAAAAGTTTATTTTGTGCCTAATGTTTAGTTTGAGGGTGGTGAGAGAATTGATTTTTAAAATTCATTTGACCTCTCAGGTTGTATTTGAATTCATTTGTGAAGAACAGTTTTTGAATGTTATCTGGGAGCAAGTTGAGTTTCAAATTTGAAAATAAGTTTTAAATAAGATTTGGCATATTTTAAATTTTACCAGGTCCCCAAATTTTAGTGTCTACATTTGTATGTTCTCTATATCCGAATCTCTACTCTTATACTATAAATATACTACTTATAGGCGGTAGTAGAAATAGTAGGCCTAATAGTAAAAATAGTAGTGGTAGTAGTGGTACTGGTAGTGGCAGTAGTAGTAGTAGTAGTAGCAGTAGTAGTAGTAGTAGTAGTAGTTGTTGTTGAGCCCCTCCCTGTACTGGACCCTTTACCCCCCAGTCCGGCGCCCCTGCTTAAAAGAACAGGACTGCAAAATACTGCATATAGTTCCTGTAATGGATTTGTAATGTACAGTACAGACATGTGCAGCTATTAAAGGGCTAATTTGACATCCCTACAAGCAGTTCATTTGGCAGTTAAGAAAAATGGAGTTTGCGATCCATTGCCAAGGTTTGTGTGAGATTTGGCTCCAAGAATCCTGTCTCAAATTGATTTCTACTCACTCAGCGTCACTGCATTCACTGATTAGTCACAAGCACATACGTCAGTCACCTTTGAAACTGTGATTAGTCCTATCAGCGGAATGGATGACTTCAAATTCTTAAAGGTGCTTTGTGTAACTTTTCTGGTGGAGGGTCCGT